CAGAAAAAGTGAGCTGTACAGTGTGTGGCCCACAGTTCCAAAGGAGGTGTTTTAGTCAAGCTGGCGCAGACAGATTTTGCAGAGAAACCCACTCGGGAGATGAAGGGAGGAACAGCAAGATTCAGTTAGCAGCAGGCCAGGAGTGCCTGTGTCCACACATTAGTAATGAGCTGCAGAGGTACGTGCAAGCCCTCAGGACCTCAGTTGCAAGACCACCTTGTAGGGCTGGGACAACAAATCCTCTCCCATGCTCTGTTCTTCCACAGTGTTCACCCACTGTCTTCCACTCCTCCACACCCTCAGCTTGCAAAGGAAGCACTGATGGGACTTGCCCAGCAAAGCCTCTTCCCGTGCAGGACTGGGCAACTGCCCCAAGCAGTACCAGGGACCTCCTTCTCCTGCTGGGACACCAACCTCTGCCAGAAAGGCAGGGTGAGTGTTGCATTGCATAGGGACAGAGTAGGGCCAGGCAGCACAGCAGTCTTGGGGAGACAGTGAGCCTTCACTCCACTCAAGTGTGTTGCAGAAGAGGATGTGATAAACTCTGCCCTGAGCCTTTTTCTCCATAGAAGCGGTCAGAGAGACTGAACAACAGGACGGGGCAATCAAAGGCAGAAGCTAAACACACCCATGGTGACAGGGAAGTGCCACTGTGCACATTTTCCAGTAACCGCTGAAAGTAAAGCAAGTATGTGAAAAGGGCAAAAACAGAAGGAGGTGACTCAGTGACTAAGAAAAATAAACAATGGGTGTTTCACAAGAATGAAAGGGAAGAAAACAAATGCTATAAAGCAACACCCAACCTACCACTATAAATACCAGCCAGGAGCTCACCTGGTAAGACGGCTCTGCAGGAACCCGTGGTGCTGTGAAGGCCATGACTTCCCAGGAGTCACAAAGGCTTCTCCAGAGGCAGAAAGTTGGGTGGTGGAGCTGCAGGCACAGCCAGCTCTAGTGTAGGTGGTGGAAACCTCCCTTGCTTCCACCCCTTCCAGAAGATTAAGTTAATAGCTCTCCAATGAGCTCATCTGCCTCCCAGCAGTCAGATCTCTCACCTGCCCTCAGAGCCCTCAGGCTCATTCTGCCAGCGCTGGTCACGGCTCCTCCAAGCAGCTGGAACAGTGCTGCATGCCCAGGCCCAGCTGCAGGAGCTGTAGGACAGGTCTGCCAATCACCACTGTACCTGTGACAAACTCAGATGAGCAAACAACGACAGTGCTCCCCAGGTGGGCCTGCCTTGGGGACAGCCCTGTCCCTGCAGCTCAGAGCCCTGCAGGGAGCACTTGCAGCTCAGCTTTGCCCATCTGCTGCTCCCATGGAGCTCAAAGCAGGCTCCCATGCTAGAGTGCTGGCAGCTGTGCTGCTGGGCTCTCCAAATGCCTCCCTGCAGGAGCAAGCTCAGCCCTGTACCAGCCCCACCTGGCAGGGTCCCAGCAGAGCACTCCCCTCTCCTGCAGGGAAGCTACACTGGATGCTCCCCTTCCCGCAGTTCTACAGCGCAACGCTGTGAGGGGCCTGCTGCAGCCCAGCAAGGCTGGGCCAGGAAAACACCCTGCCACAGATTCTGGCTTTGTCCAGGTGCTGCCTCTCAGTACCAACAGACCCCAGGAAACGTGTCAGAAATATTCTCTGGTGCCATAATGGAAATACTGGCCCAACCAGGCAGGCTTGGCCAATATGGCCTGTGAAAATCAAGGACAGTGGTAATGTGGTATCCCTCCTTCTCAATATACATATAAGAAAGCACAAACCTGCTGGGGGCAGAAAGCAGGGGTGGCTGTCACTTCTTCTCAGTTTTTTGGGAAACCAGTGAATGCCCCGAGACCATGTAGTGCTTACATGGTGACAGAAGTCAATACTGAATGCCTGGAACTGCACCCAGGGGCATTTCCCCCCACTCCATCATCAGCCCTAGTAGTGAACTGTGTGAGCTACTGCTCTTTTTTACTGGTATTTTTGGTATTCCCGTTCCAATTTTAAGCATTTCTTTGGTTAACTAAGAACAACTTTTGCTGAAGTCTCTTAAAACAGTTTCAGAGAGATCAATGAGGTTCCCAGTGCCGCTATAGGCACAAGGCAAGAAGTTAGAAATTACTTTGCTCACGACAATGAGATGTCCTTAGTGCAGCCTCTCCAGTTCACTCCAGCAGAACTATAATCACTTTGGTACCAAGCAGTTATTTTATTTCATCTTTCCCTGTACTGTAGGAGGAAAGATTTTTAACTGAGCCCAATCCCACCTGCATTCAAGTGGATTGCTAATTAAGCTACAGATGTCTCCTGATGGCAGCAATTATTTCTAGTAACCTTAATGAGATTGTTACATTCCTTAGTTATTGTTATGAAAAGTTATATGAAAAAACTATGCCTAATACTACACAGCTCCTGGGGGAATAACTTCTTGATCTGTTCTGGTTTGATTAATGGGAATGATTCTTTCCTTTCTTAGCAATATTTCTCAAGCTCTTTGTGGCTCATTCCCCTTGTCTTTTGTTGGCACTTTTAACAAGTCTGATCGAATTTTTCACACAGGTCTTCTTTTCCAAACATTTCTATCCAGTTTTGCTCTCCCTGAATTCTCCAGTGCCTCTGCTTGGTTTATTGCATAATTTTTCCTCTCTTTTCCAGTGATTGACTCTGTTTAGAACATACACTTTACTTACAACAGGGACTCAGTGCCTATCAGAACTCCGCAGGGTTTGAGGTTGTTGTTAGTTTGTTGCAGATACAAGAAATCCATGTCCTTACGCTGGAACTTGAGGAAAAGCCTCCCTTCAGTGCACAGAAAATAAGGATATCCTTGAAACATTGAATGGAATCAACAGAATAAACTAAGGCAGCTAAGCACATCTTTTCACATCATCTCCTCTCTCCTGTGTTTTTTTGTCCAAAATCCAAGCATGCTATACAACAAGTAATATTATCCAGGGAATAAAGAAGTTCATTCCATTTCAAACCAAAGGATCACTTTTTTTTTTAAATCTGTATTTATTGGGTTTATATTCCCACTCTATTCCTCCTGAAGTCTCTTACCATAGGCAAGAGGTGCACAGAAAGCATGTCAGTGGTTATGACTACTTCTCATGGCTTAGTACCATTTTCAGGAGCATCAAAGTTCATAGGAACACGTGAACTTCCCTTCAGAATCACAAGCAGTTACGATTAAACTCGAGTCAAACAGATTCCTGCCCAGCACAACACATCATGGAAAGCAGCCATAGACCCAGGTGCTAATTCCTGACCAAGCAATTAAAACACCACAGTTCAGAGAAGCATTCAGTGACGATCCCATTTTTCTGACATTGAAACCAAAGGAAGGCTTTGGAGCACCTTCCACACAAGCAATTAGAGCAGGTAAATGTAGGAGCTTTTGAGTTTCCCAACCACTGCCTGACCACCTTTCTGAGCTAACCCAAACTCTCGTGAAAGCACAGTTGGCAGAGTAACTTTCAACAAAGCTTACTTTGCAGGAACTACTGATTTACTGAAACAAACCTTTTGTGGAAATGTGCTGTTTTGGCTAAAATATTTCAAGCCCTGGGATGGCATTTCTGGATGAAACCATCAAGATAAAGGAGCTGGTCTGATAGCTCAGCAAGGGCCAGAATTTAGGTCTGAGAGCTCAGATTACTGAGTAGCCTTGCATGCAGGCTGTGAACTATCTTGCAGTGCCTTTTCTGCTCTGTCTTTGAATAAAAACAAATAAAACAGCCTTGATTTCTTACTGTCAAACAGAGCTCTTGTCTTCCAGTCACTCTGTGAATAAAAGGCAAGATGAAATTAGGTAGCAAAAAGTAAGGAACTTGCTCAAGCTCGCAGAATCCTCAAAATAGTGTCTGGACCCTGATGGTCTCCAGTGTGACCTCGCATGAGGAAAAGGACTGCCACCTCCAGTACAGCAGGTCACATGTGGCTTCATTCAGCCAGGCCATGAACATGAAGAAGAGATCTCTTCACCTGTTGAGGTACCTGTTCTCCTGCAGCATCACCCTCCAAGGGACATTATTCTTCCTCATGTTCAACCTCCCATGCAGCAATCCATGACCACGGCCACTTGCCATAATGCCTGTGGCCACCACAACATGAATTTGGTTCTGCCATCTCTATGGCTTTTCTTTATGCAGTTGTACAAAACTGCTACTGGATCCACTTTCACTGTCTCTTCGGGCCTGACAAGTGCCCTTGTGCCAAGGACATCTCTGAACCCAAGGGATGCCTCCGCCTCCTTTTGATGTCCAGACACACTCTGCCATGCAGAGAAAAGGCTCTACAAGGAGGGGTAAGCAGAGACATCTTGCATGGTGGACTGAGTCCTGGCATGGGTGGCAGCACTCGCTCAGCTACTCAGTTTTAGTCTCCTAACATAAGCCAGCACAGTATCATTCTGTTTGGGAGAGTGGTGTGAACTCTGCTCTCAAAGAAACATTTCTTTCAGCTCAAGCTTTGGCATTTTAAACAAGTGCAATTAAATGCACTGAAAATGCTACTGCAACATGAAGGTTAAAAATAACAACACAAAATGCCAGGAGTCACTCACAAGAAAAGTTCCTGGAAGAAATGCCCACTCACCCACACTGCACAAGCTTAACATTGTCCAAGTGACAGCTTGCAATTTGAAGCCAGATAAACAAGCCACAATTCAGCCTTTTTCCTATTGCCACAAGTCTGCACTCACTAACAACTGTATCAGCTCTAGAATTGACACCATTTGGAAACTCTCTGATCTGCATCAACAGGTAGGTCCCCAGCTACTATTTGGTACAGATGCAATTACTTATGAGTGTAAGTTTGTACCTACAACTGCTAAACCACTCCTAGTTTATACCACAGAATGTAAACTTCAGAAGAAACATGTGCAGTACAGATTCATGGACGCACTTAAGAACTAATACTGTCCTTAATGATGATAAAAAATTTGAATTTCAAATTTATAGCCTTCACCTGACAATAACAGCATCCTGAATATGCTGTGCTTTTTAAAATGCACTGAATGCTCAGACTTCAGTAAAAAAAATTTATTTTCAATATAAAAGTGCCAAAATATTCACCAACATTGTAATCTATTCAGCAACCAGCTTACTCTAGTAATCAAAATTGCAAGCATCTTTATTCACATTTTTAAATCAAATTCCTTTCACACGTTTCCACAATAACCCGAGTCCCTCGAAAGTGGGAAATTTGCATTTCGATTGGCTGCTGTAGTCCATATGTCCAAGTTCATGTAGGCACGGAAAGGGTTAAACCTTGGATAGTATTCCTGCTTACACATAACTGCCTGGTTCTCCACGTGGGTTGAATGTTGAGTCGTGGCACTGACGGGGCAGCAGCTTTCATAAACATCACTCTGGGGTGCCCAGATGGAACCAAAAAGTCCAGACATTGGAGACAAGCTTCGGGTGCTTGAGAGGTAGGGCTGCAGAGCAAGACAAAACCAGCATGGGAAACTGCACCACGGACCATTTGCCAAAGAAAATCTGGAAATGCTAAGTACTAAATGGGAGAGAGGAAGCAGCATTTATGCAGAAATTTAAGAAATCCACAAGTAGAAAATTGCAGAGGAGTTTACAAAGAAATATGGCTGCCAAAAATATTACAGCAGCATTAATGTAAGTTGGTGTGTGTGCGTGTGTGTGTGTGTGTGTGTGTGTGTGTGTGTGTGTGTTTAAAAGCCCTCCACTGAATGAAGTCACATGAGCTCCTCCCTGCACAGCACAGATATTACTCTAACAACAATATACTACTCAGTTCTGGTCAGACTGTTGGGGAAAATAGAGGAGAAATGGAAGACACACAAAGATCCCCATGCATACTTTGAGAGTTAAAATGAAAAGAGAAGGACGCCTAGAAATGACAAGAAAAGGGTTGAAGTATGCGTCAGTCCAGAAAGACTGTGCATGCTGGGAGCAGAAAGGGATATTCAGTGTGAAAAATGAGACTGTAATTGGGAGCTAGGGAATTTAGTTAGAAAATTTTGAAAGCTTATAAAGAACCTCCTGGAGGGCAAGATGTATTAGTCTGCAAGGAAGTCTCTCAGCGAAGGTCATGGAAGTCTTGGGACTTTTAAAACTGAATGAAACATTGAAATGTATTGTGGAGAAAAGCTCGCCAGGGAAATGAACTGAATTATCTAATGCATTTTCCAATCTCTACCTTCTGTGTTTCCTGGCATTCCTGAATAAAATATGAAATAAAATATATGTTTATTTTAGGAAAAAGTCTTCTACCAGTTTTGCCACTTTTTAACATGGACAAATTTTCATTTTTACAGTTGAAAATATTTCTTGCTTTAGTTAGTTTCATTCAAAATAGACCTATAGTAAATTTAAAAAAAAATCTAAAATACAGGATTTTGAAATATAAGCAGAAGAGAAGATAGTTACAATTAAAGACCACCTTGAACTGAAGTTACTACACTGCACTGTGGGATGACAAACATGGCTAGTCTGGAGTATAACAGGTTAAAGTCAGGATTCTGAAATCTGAATAAATCCAGCTTAAATCGCTTGAATTTCCTACCAAAACAAAAACGCTGTAAAGTACCTGAGAGCAGCTGTCCATTCAGCTCTTCAATTTTCAAATCTCTCTGGGTTTTTCTGTCTGCACTTTCTGGGTTTTAGCCTCAAGTGGACACATTGATTTTCACAGAAAAAAGTCTCAGTAGACTACATAAGCCCAAAATATTTTTCCATGTGTAAGCTGATTTTAGTCAATTTTCAGGCAAAAGGATCATCTCAAAATTTTGCAGACAAGGTCAGTAACATCCTTGACAAACAGCTGGGAAAAACCTGGGCTACCAATGCCAGCATTAAACACAAACATCAGAATACTTAGAAGATTCATGAAGAACATACAAGCAACAGGTAGGGGAAAGACAGGAATACACGAGGAAGGCTGTGAAGAAGCATGCAAAAGCAGCACCTCACAGTGACAATACTCACTGTGGAGTTGACATAACTGGCAGGCTCCCAGGCAGGTGGCATGTTGGGAGGAGCATTCCAGGTGGAGGGACAGTTCTGGTCAATGAAGGCTGTGTTCTGCATTGCTGCAGTACCTGGGAAGCCACTGGGGTAGTTCATGTTCTCTGCAATTTATAAAATCAAGAAGACAAAGTAAGACTTTTGCAATATAAAACACTACTAACATTTCTGTGGAGGAATGCTGAATCTTCTTGAAAGTAAGCCAGGCTGGGACTGACCTAATCCTTTAGGTACTCCATGCAGCGTCAGGGTAGCACAGCAGCGAAGTGTATCAATTTCTGTCAACAGGACTACCACTCTTTATTAGAGACCCACTAACAAATTGTTATCAGGAGGACAGGATAAAGACTTGGCAGTCCCTCTACTGGAGAACAGAGTCTTTATTAGACAGAACGTGCATGGCAGAACCCCCCCAGGCCTCACCGCCAACATGTCTCAGCTCTAAGCACCCAAGGGATCAGCGTGCTGCCTGGGATTCTGCAGTCTGACCTTTCATTAGTACTTAGGTAGGTAATGCTAAAGAATTCTAGATTGCTGCCAGTGTGCTTCCCAAGCCAAGAAACTCTAGCCTGGAAAGATAATTGGTCACAAGAGGCCTTGTATTTCACACACTGGAAGGCTGAAGCCTGCCAGAGGGGAAACAAAGAAGATTGTACAAAAAGATATGTGTAATACTGTAAGCACAAGCATTTCTCTCAATTCCCTCTGGAAGTCCTGCATACTGCCTTTTCAGGCTCTATACAAAGGCCAATATTTTCATCCACCACATGCAGTCATTGTTTATTACTACAGAACACTCTGCTGGAAAATGTAAAGTTGAAAGCAATGAACACCCGTGTATAGATCAGCTCAACCTTTTGTTTTATAAAAGGTGAGAGGAAAACAACCATGCTCTGTGATAATTAATAAGCTTTATTTCATCCTACCTTCTGGGAAAGCACCATATTCATTCATCTCTAGTGGACAATACACGTTGGAAAATTGGCTGTCACAAGCTGCATTCCAGTCAATGAAGCTATCTCAAGAAAAACAAAAAAAATCTGCAGTCAGAAACAATTTGCAAAACTTCTGAAAATTACTTAGAAATACTTATTTATTGTAAAGCTCTTGGATGCAAAATGCCTGTAACCGATTATGAGGCTTTTCACATTCCACTTGTCAATTTTGCCAGTATCTACTCTGCGCCACTACACAATCACAGCAATCTCTCTCACAGAGCTCTTTTTCCCCTGGGAAAATGAACAACTTGTAATGACACTACCAGAATCCTGCAATGCATAGCTGGGTTCAACTTTCTTCCCTGTAAAAAGAAAATAACTGTACTTCTTCCCTACAATCAAGGATTATGTGATTTGAGGTGGCAGAAGAAGACATAATACATTTGAATGCTTAAGAATAACAATTAAAATGGGGATTTCTATTTTCCCAACCAAATGTGGTAAAGTCCTGTTAAACAGTGCATTTTACAAGATACACATAGATTTCTAGGGGTTATACTTCTTTAATTAAAATAATTTCAGAATTTCAAGAAGATTTTTTCGAAAGCAATTCCTAAGGACATGTCAGTAATAAAATAGGCCCTGCTACGCAGCAAGTCTGAAGTAGTCCAACTCTGGATCCAAGTCTGCAAAAGGATTTCATAAGAAGCTGCTCTACTTCAATTTTACTATTCAGCCAAGCAGCTATCTGAAGTTATCAGTACTAAATATCAATACATAATTGCATGGGTGTGCATGCAATTTTTGCTTATGAAGTCCAAATTGAGATAGGTGTATGAAAGCAGTCACAGAATGGGCAAGGCTGGAAGGGACCACAGTGGGTCATATGGCCCAGCCTCCCTGCTCAAGCAGGGCCGTCCCAGAGCACATGGCACAGGATTGTGTCCAGAGGGTTGAATATCTCCAGTGAGAGAGATTCCACAACCTCTCTGGACCATCCATTCTGGTGTGTGGTCACTGCACAGTAAAGAAGTTCTTCCTCATGTTCTGGTGGAACTTCCTGTGCATCAGGTTCTGCCCAGTGCTTCTTGTTCTATTGCTTGGCACCACTGAGCAGAGCCTGGCTCCATCCTCTTGGCACCCTCCCTGCAGATACTGGCAGACATTGATGAGGTCCCCTCTCAGTCCTCTCTTCTCAATGATGTACAGGCCCAGCTCCCTCAGCCTTTCCTTGTAAGAGAGATACTCCAGACCCTTAAACAGCTTTGTAGTTTTTTCCTGGATGTGCTCCAGGAGCTCCCGATCTCTGTTGCACTGACTGTGGAGTCCAGAACTGGACACCACTCCAGATGTGGCCTCACCAGGGCTGAGCAGAGGGGCAGATTCACCTCCCTTGCCCTGTTGGCAATGCTCTTCCTGATGCACCCCAGGGTACCACTGACTTTCCTGGCCACGAGGACACTGCTTGCTCAGGGACAGCTTGTTGTGCACCAGGACCCCCAGGTACTTCTCCTGTCATTTTGGATGACAGGATACAACTTGAAGAACTGGCCATATTTCACTGCTATGTGTAGAGCAGAGTATTTCTGCTCTCTAGTTTGTGACACATCTTTCATTACTAAAATTTGCTGTGTGAGCAGTGTAAAATATAAGCTAATCAAGTTCATTACTACAGGAAGATCAACCCAAATATAGACAGAGCCTGAAACATACCAACTTGTATCCCTAAACGACTTTTATAGTGGAATATTTGTCTTTATAACAATGTCTGTTACTGCCATTTAACACAAGTACACACTGCATAACACACCATGTGGCATACACAAGCTATGCATTTAGCAAGAGTGCAACAGATTTCAAAGTCAGGCCCTCTGCCTGCAAAATGAGTGAAATCATTTAACAGCTTTCCAAAAGTATTTAATTAAACTTGAAAAAAGTTCTAGAATATCTATACATGAACAGGGACAGCAGTGAATTTGTATTAGTAAAATTAATCACAATGTACCCATGGAAGAGCATTAACAACTAGAACTAAGACTGAAGTGGCAGAACGACTTTAACTATCATCTGCCTTTACAAAAATGATGAGTAAAGTACAGTCCTCTGCATTACAGAAGCCTGAACAAAGCATTATCTGTACTTTCTACACAAAACATAACTTGCCTGTTGTGGACAGAGGGGGTTTCTTGGATCATGCATGGTATATTATTCTCAAGGTTGTAGTTCAAACTGTTTGTCATGCAGACTGGCTGGGCAGGCCACAAGTCTCCTGTTGGGTAAAGACCTAAAAAAGGAAAGGGGAATGAAATACAGAGTAACAGGAAGGAGACTCCGCAGATTCTGTCACACTGACACCTTACTCTCAGATCCCCAGTAAGGACTGTCTGCTAGAGAAAAAAATCCAGAGTTACTAAGCAATTTTTTTGTGATGAAGGCCCATCTTTAAACACATCTCAACATTTCTGTATTTTAAAAAAGATATATGTAAGACCTGAACTGAGAAACCAGAATTCAACAAAACAAGGCAAGAAGTTCCTGCTGAGGGTCCTTAAGTGTTCAGCTGCCAGTGCCTAGATGACACACTTCCACAGAGCAGGAGAAACAGCAGGGATGCAATCCCCACTGGCCTCCTTGTGCCCACCCCTTAGGCACTAGTCACTAATCACCTCTGTAGTCCAACGACACAAATGCAGCAGGAACAGGGTCAGGTTTCTAACAGACTGGAGCCATTCCTGACCAGACAATTTGTGAACTCATTAAATGTTTCATTTAGCCTCTAGCACAGATATTCATTGTGCTGCTCTTCATGGACTGCATGCCCTGACTGCCCACAGATATTTGGTTCCTATCAACTCTATGAGAACTGGCAGCTGGAGAAAAGAAAAAATCCAAATTAGCAATTTCCATGAGACAATGCTTGCAAAGTTGGCTCTATTTCATTATTTCACATGATATCAATATTGCTACCACGGAAGAAGGTTAATCAGTAATTGTATCCTATCAGACAGGTTAAACCTACAGCAGAAGGGCAGGGAGTGCTGCTGCCCAAAGAACCACATGTCCTCACCAGCTTTCAAACTCCACCTCACCATGTAGCATGATGCTTTTATGAATTCCACTCAAAAAGCTAATATTACTTCCCTCTGAGATACAAACAATGAAAACTCAAGAATTTTAACAGTGCTAAACAACCCCACTCATTACTACTGTCAAAGAGAGCAAGTCCCAAATGGGGATATTTAGAGAGAAAAATGGTCATGTTTGATTTGGTGCCAAGCTTCACTTTAACACAGCAAGCAGTGCTCTTGATCTCCCAGCTGCATTGCTTCTGGACATTAATTTGTGCACAGCAAGAAGATGAAAAAAAGAAAGAAACCTAGACCATGAGTTGAAAGCTAAATGCTGTCTCGATGCAGAGAAGATGTAACAAAAAATATCAAGGTTATAAACAAAAACTGTCGAGGTTTTAAGCCTTCATTTGCTAACTTTGCACCCAACTTGCTTAGAAGCAAGTAAGTTCTAGTAACGATGTGTCTATCAAGTTGGTGCATGTGTAATTAGCAACATCACTAAAACTGCTTGGCAAAGTGTGAGAAAAACAGCTTCAGTTGTTAATACTGACCTTTATTTTTGTCAGGATCTGCAGCTATGTCAGTGAAATTGGGACATAAGGTCTCAGGATATTGGGGGATGCTGTTCATGTCTCTGCTGAATGAAAAGAAAATTTCATTTCTTAAGTCTCATAATCCAAACTATTTCAAAGGAAATATACAGAGATGTAGAAAACATTCTAATGACCATCATAACTGCTATTGCTTTTCCACTGTCCTGATTCTTCCTATTTCAGAATTACCACGGTGCAATTTTTAAAAGTTTTTTACCAATTAAAAGCCAGCTACTTATCACACATGCAAAATGAATGAAATTAATACACCTTAATCACCCTATTTTTATTATCCAGGTATGAACCTATTGCAAATTAATTCAACAGCTGTTCTCTAAAACTGGAAAACAAGCTGCAGTTCATGAAAATCAGTAGGACCTCTTATAATTTTTGAACAACTTTCAGGTAAGTTTACTTTTATGTCCATGAAGACACACAGAGACACATGAGCGTGAATTTGGTATTTATCAAAGCCAACCCACCAAAGGAACAAGTCAAAATGAATAAAAGAAAACATTTTCAAGCACCAGAATCCCAAAGGAAAAGGATTGGAGTATTTCTCCTCGTGAAAACAGAGAGTGGTCAATGAGAAGTGAAATGAGGATTCACAGCCATAAAACTTGTAGATGCTATCTCTACTGCAGTGAAGAGGGAGAAAAGAATGTGGGGGAGGGAGGAATCAATTTTCATGCTGTATATCCTAGGAGAACATTATTCCCATTAAAAAAATAGCATCAACTTGAAAGTCTTATTCCCACCTTTTTTAAAAAAACACAACTAAGCAGTAATGGAAATATAAGTTGCTAGGATCTGGAAGAAGTCAAAGTGGAAAACCGAATTCCATTTTTTTCCATTTGGAAGCTTTTATTGTACTTATGCAGCATAATCAATTTTGCTTACATCTTCTCATGTACTGAAGAAGATTCTTTTTCCAACTAGTAAGTACAATCAGATGATCATAAAAAATTACAAGATAACAGGTGCCAACAGGTATTATTTATCAAACTGAGACAAGACTTCAAGTTGGTGTTGATTCTTTAATGCCTTACAGGTGTATATTCAATTTTTTTACCTGGTATTGCAGATGTTATGAGACAGATTTAGAGTGATAGGAGTTTCAGATGGAAAATCATTTTGTGAAATATTCTCTCCTAAAGAAAAGAATGACTGTGAAAATCAAAGATCCTTAAAAAAGAAGTATGCACAGAATATACATCCACACAAACAGAATTATCAATGGTGTTAATCAAGTTTTCTCTCACACTGGATTATCACTAACTGCATCAATTTCAAGACATGCTACCTAGGTCCATAGTCTTAAAATGTATTTTATGATTTAGAAGTGATTACCACAGTCTTGAAAGAGAGGTTCCTTGTTACTATCAAATTAAGTCTGAATTTAGAATTACTTATTTTCTTTTTTCTTAAGAGGCATTATAATTTGAACAAACAGGAAAGTCAAATAGATTTGTTATCTATTAAATCACAGGTTCAGACAGATCACACACTATCATTAAGAAACAAAGTTTTATACATACACAAATACACATGAAGTTTCTGGATATTTTTAAATAATTCAAACCATCTTTTTGCAGGTACCCAAAGCTGGGTTTGCTGGTGTCACTTAGCACTCTAAAATTTACTTCTAGTGCCACATCACTCTGGATAATTTTGGCAATGACTTTCAACTACTTTAGTGATATTCAGGTATTCAAGAATTGCAGTAATGAAGCACAGCTCCCATTTCTCATACTAGTCAAGTGGCTCAGATGTTCTGGCTATTTACACCTCAAATACACCTATCCAAACCCAGCTCCTCAAATATGAACTGCTTTCACACATTCCTCATTTGTGCATTACTTAAATAGTTTTAATGTTAAAAAAACCCCAAATAATGTGATGAATCAAATTCGAAGGCAGAAATTGCTTTGCCTATTCTGAGTGACTCTCAGTTCTCCCATCCTTCCATGACAACTAACTGTGCATATTGCTTATTGAGGAGCCTGACAGTAATCTTCATCTCCATGAAATGTGTGGGACTTCTTGTCAAGTACAAAGTTCTTTACATCCCTCCTTGTGTGTCTGAGGGGTGCTCTACAAAAGACAAGTTCATGTGCCCCATGCTGTGGTAGGCCTTTCCAATCAGCAGGAAGGCTAAAACTCTGTGCTCTACCGTGAAGAGAGCTGTTTGCAAAACTTACTGGATGGAAGAAAATGCCTGGTAGTAATCATTGGCTTTTTATCTCCATCTGAACTGCTGGTACTGCTCCAGCTACCCCAGCTCCCACGACTTGCACGAACGCTTCCTGACGAACTTCCACAATCTGAGCTTGAATCAGAACAAAACTTCTCCAAACACTTCTTTTTGGACCGCTGATAAAAGTTTTCTAAAGAAGTTGGGAAAAACAAAACAAAAAACCAATCAAAAAAAACAACACAACATTTAAGAAAGTCTTGTCAGGGAAAAGTAATCTGAATAATGAATTTACATGGATTCTCTGAATTTACTGATGAGAGAAGAAATATTTGCTGGTAGCTTCAGTAACTAAACCAGCCTCTAACATAAGGAGCTTCTGATGTACATGATATCCCAGTAACATGAATGCAGTGATGACACAGTGCTGCTGTAGGCTATAGGTTCAAAGAGGAAATGCATACTGTCCTCTGAAATAAATACTTAATACTTCAAATATGAAACATATCCTGGCTGTAGGAACATGCATATGATAAAATGGTGCAAGTAATGAATTCATAAGTGATAGATTCTCTTATTATCTCATCAGAGATGCAAAGGACAATCCTACAGAAATTGATAACTTTCTTCTCTTCCTTTCTTCTCCCTTAAAGAGATCTTCTCTTTAGGGAAGATCTCCTCTTCCCTAAAGTCAGGGAAAACAGATGATTAAAATCCTGATGGAAAGGCAGGAAGCAGGTATCCAAGCTTTATTGGAACACAAAACCAGACTACCAGTCTGTCTGTCCTTCACCAAGAACTGATGGATGATTGCTTCAGACTAATTAATTTTCTGGTTTGCACCATGAACCAACCCCATGGAGAAGCATGCAGAGCCCTTCAGAAGTGAGCAGCTATCATTTTGGGCACTGTGTCATACCAGTCCTGTCATCTTCACGTCAGGGTTCAAAGGGAGAAAAGCACAGGTCTCTCAAGTAAGGCATGCTCTACTGCCACAAAATTCACATTGGGTTTCTTTCCCTATTTTAAGACAATTAAGACTGCATACCTGTTTCTCCCTGTATGGACAAGCTCCCAGCTTTTTGGTCTGCTTTACAATTTTCCCCGTTGTTCTGAGGACACCAGGCTCTTATTCCAATATTTGTTCTCAGATCCGGCCTTTCAAATTCACTGCACATATGCTTCAACTCACTCTGCTCAGGGACCCTAATAGAACCACACCCAAAAAAACCCAAACATGTTTTCATTTTACATTTCATCTGCAGTTTTCCTTTCCAGGCATTAAACACTTCAACTCACACACCTATCAAGGCAAAGGGCAAGGAAGCAGTAGGTTTGGGAGTCTTATTCCCCAACTTTGGAGAAACCTAAAAAACCTTTCACAAAATGCAATATCCAACCACACAGACTACTACTTCTCAGGGGGAGAGGCAAAATGACATGTGCATATTTAATTCCATTCTCTAATGCACCTGGCAGAAGGCAATCAGATGTTGCAGTGATAAGCACAGTTTAGCAGTGTACAAAGATCTAGATGCAAAGAAAAATGTGCCCTGTGCTCATTTCACTGGCACAACTATAACTAGAGTAAAATCCCAATCTGGAGCAATCTTAACTTTGCTAGTAAAGATGGAATGAAATGTCTACATCCAATACCATAATCAGAGAGTATTGAGGAAAAATGATTAAAAGTCAGCTGTCAAATTTCTGCAGAAATGGAACAGTTCCATCTTAACTCAGAAAGCAGCACCTGCTGAATTGGTTCAGGGAACAGACACTAAATACAGTATTTTACTGCTCATTTTTTATCCTTCCCATCTACAAAGGTGTGCATCCAGCAAAAATTTACACGTGTACTGACTTCCCACAAAATGAACAGAAATGTGTGTATAACAGCCCTTTCAGATTTACAATCTCCTTTTAGAGTCCACTGACCTCAATAGAAGCACTCGCAATAAAAATTAAGTCTGTGAAGGCTTTGTGGGATTGTGACTTTAATTCAAAGGGCTGGGGGAGGGGAAGGAGTAGGATTTTCTCCTCAGTAGTGTTTCTATTCTAAAAGGAGTTTGTAACTAGTATTTTTTAATAATCCATACAACTTAAATTTAAAATATATTAAAAAAATAAGTAAAAGTAATTTACAACTGACTTTAAAATGCATTAACACAATTCTCAGGGGAAAAAAAAAGTAACTTTCCACAGTGCTCACTCAACATTCTTTACAATCTAGTGCTGCTCTAGTTGTTTAAATCATAATAGCAAAAATGAAAGCCACTCTCTCATTTCTACACATTTCTCTCCCAAAGTTGGTAGAGGACAACATCCCCCCAGTTACTCAATATAGCAGATGACTCTCCTGAAGGTGGAATCATTTCAACAATTTTATTTTCCTTTTTTCAGTGAAGAGAACACATGACTAGAACTTCTCCAAACACTACACAAGGGGAAGGAAGCTAACCATCCAAACTTCAGAGACAGCACATTCCAGACTCTAACAGAGAGCTACCACTGCTATGCAGAATGGGCTGCATCTATCTGCATGTAAATTTACACATGGAATATTTTAAAATTTTTTGTTTTGCTGGTGATATTTAGTAGTGCACATTCCTAAAAGTAAATGCTCAGGACGGGATTAATGTGTGTTTACTTAAATAGATAAAGTAATCCTGCCTAATGCATTATGCAAAACCTGCAGAAACATTACAGCAATTCTGGGTTTCTTCATGATTTGGTGAGGCAATACATACCTTGTGGATATATTTACATTCTTCTTCTTATTTTTCCTAGATGTTCTATTCCTATTCCAATTCATATTTGGTACATTTCCTTCCTTTTTATCCTGAGGCTTCTTCTTTCTATATGCATCTTCTTGCTAAAGGCAAAAATACAAGCTGAGACATTATAAAATGAACTTAACTTAGTCAATGAACTCCACTGGATTTTTCTAGCTAAATTTCTCTGGCCAGAATGGCCTGACCCAAATGCATAGTTACTTCATGATTTAGTGGCTTTCCACAGCACATCCTCTTTCCAGCACCATCAATTTAACTAGCCTTTCCAAGACTCTGTCCATCAAGACACCAAGAGATGATGAGAGAGGAATTTCTGAATTCCCAAACTTAGCATTTTCCCTTTCACAGCATCTAGCTCTGACTTTCAGGGAAATAAAAAAATGGAGGGAGAAAAAGTAAAGCAGTCAATAAAATTCCCAATGTGCTAAAAACAAAAAACATCTGCCAGATTTATGATCAGCTGGTGTGCAAGTTCAGCAGCAATAAATCCTCCCTTTCCTCAGCAACTGGGGGCAGTGGGGGAAGGCATTTATTTGAATTACAGCTGAGGAAATTATGGAGTAAGTTACCAGCAAATACTAGTAATTTCAAGAAATGTAAGAAACAAACTGAGCACCATCAGCCACACAGGCAAAGAAGTTTGTAACAACAATTCCCAAAGCAAGACAAGACCGTGTCTTTTCTCACATATTCCCCAAGCAATGTAAGCAATTCTTCCTTACACCATTTTGCCATGGGATTTATATCCAGTACACAGAATATAAACATAATCCAGATTCTCAGGTTCACTAATTGCCTAATGAAGTTCTTTTAGTGTTTTATGCTGCCTGCAACAAAGGTACAGCCTGTTGTGTTTATCATACTCAGAAACCAGGGGTGAAGAACAATCCTTCTCAGCAACTGCATAATCTGCTAAAGGGCTTCTGCCTGCTGTACTCCCAAATGCAAGTTTCTGATGCAAAGCCTTGGGTTTGGAGATCAGGTCTGCAAGTGAAGGCCAATATGCCTACTTCCCCTGCAGAGAATGTTCCCACATCATTAGTGTGGCTGACAGCTGGCATTAGATTCCAGTATGCTTGTGCCTGCTCTAACAGTAACAATCTCTGGCTGTGATATGGCTGTTTTGATTTTTACCCAAACTGTTCACCATTCCATAAAGCAGCATTAATATACAATGGACGTGGGACAGCACATTGCACTCTTCCTCATTTATCTGATTTACAGCATTTCAGGTCTGTGACTCTACAAAATAGTCCCTACATACACATACATACCTATAGATATATATATATGTACATAAACTATAAAAAGAGAATTTCAAATTTGAAAAGGAGAAAGATCACAATACCAACCTCAGAAGAAGTAATCTCCTCTTTTGCACAGCATGGAGTCTCTTCCTTGGGTCCCTTACTAATCTTTTTCTCTGTGGAAGGCTTTAGGTTGATCTGCTTTTTTGAAGTCTCGCAGTTTTCTGTTTCATTCCTGAGAGGCACTTGCTGGCTATTCCCTATAATTAAATAATAACAACTGTTTGCATGGGAAGAGAAGGGCTCTCAGTCATAACCACATACCTTTCTTTAAAAACAGCCTTGTGTTGCTTTCCAAAACACAGGAGACTAATGTCTAGGCTGATGATAATGGAAAATTTTAAAACTAAAAGCTAATACAATGTAAAAATTCTTACAGCAGTTGCAAAAAGTAGCTTTGTGCTGGTTCATGGTCATGAGCACACCACTCCCAGCGCATACAGAGATTATGCAAGTCCTGCTCATCTCATCTGAATTTGAGCTACCTGGTAGAATTTGAAGCTAGAGAACACTGGGTTAAAAAACAAAGAGGAAAAAACCCCTGCAAGCTGAGTGGGGAGAAAGGACAGCCTTTACTTGGTGCTTGACACCTCTGAAGTGTCCTCTGCATTCACTGTCAGGACAAAGGGGAGTCATCCTTTCTTTAGCATGGGTTCCACACTAAAAGTTTTTACTTGAGAGGCTTATGAAGAAGAAGAATTATTTTGATCTAAGAGTCCAAAAGATGAAAGATTCAAGAGGAAGCCTGCCTCAACAACTAGCTCAGATGAGTCACATTGCTCTGCCTGGGCCAGGACAGGACAGAATTCACTTTTCCTCTGATTGGTTCCAGGTATCTCAGAGACCTGCACTACATCCACAGTGATCTGCTACCAAGGCTCTCAGCTGCTCTGTGTGAGAAATGTCATCACTTACTGAACTGAACTGGCCTTCTCAACTGGGAAAAGCACACCCAAATGTTTTTACAGTTTTCTGCCAACCAACTACAACATCCCAGCTCTGAGTCAGATACCAGATCCCCCCTGGAGGGGAGCAGGCAGCCATGAGGACTGCAAAAGGAGCACATGTGAATGAAACACCAGGCGAGGGAGAGTGCCAGAGCTCTAAAGAATGCTCTGCTGCTCTCCAGCATACAAAGATGTGAGTACCCGAGGTCCTGAACTCCCTCCTTGCACAAAACCAGGTCTGTAATGATAATAAAGGTACAAACACTGCAACATGGTACTTTTTAGACTTAACATATCCTACTAAATGTCTTGAAACACAGAAATATCACATGCCTGATAGTGCAGGAAGCCACAACTGCTAATAGACAACAGAGATTACCTTTAGTGCTTTACTACTGAATATACTGAATGATCTCCTAATTCAAAGCAAAGAATAAGAAACAGTGCATTTTAGGAGCATATGAAGAATACCTCAAAATATTCATATTCAAAACATATCTCAAAATACCTTGTAAGAATGAGTGAAAATATCTTGCCTTCACCTGAGCTTGCATGCTTTTATCTGTTATAGCTCACAGGGAACAACACGAGAAGCAATGAGCCCATGGTAGCAACTACACAAGACAGCAGGGCCTGAAATCCCTCTCTGATGGCTCACTCCCTAAATAAACTGCCACAGCTACAGCAAATGCCAGTTTTCACAATTCAATTACTTTGCCAAGTGCCTCAGTAAAGCCAAGCTTCCAGAGGATACATTCTCTTATCCTGCTTTTGATTTCTCCCAGGTGTTCTTCTGCTGTTCTTAGAATTTTGAATTGTGAAGCTAAGAGGTAAGACTTCCCAGGCAGCCTAGCCCCACAATTTCAAAAAAAGAAAAACAAGATAAAAAATACAGCTATGCAATTACTATGGAAAACACTGATTTGCAGATTGCTACACAATAAAAGTTCACATTATCCTGATGTCAGGTTTTTCTTATTTTGGGTGGTTTTATCTGAGGAGTTCTGAATATCTGCTTCTGAATGTGCTTGCTTGGTGATTCAGCCACCATATTTTCAGTGGACCTGAAAATAGCAAACTGGGATCCCTCTGAATATCTGACAAGGGCAATTTGTGTCTTATAAGCAGATCTATGACATCAATTATTTTAGCAGTTAAAATGCTATGGCAACAAACTTGAAATTTGTAAACCAAGCAAATTTATGATTTATAAAACAACTTAAAATGTAAGCTGCTTCCTCAGGAATGTAAACAGACAAATCACAGTGAACACATAAGAAACTCCACAATTCCCTTGTCCTACACAAAAGACAAAATCCTGACCACAGTGAACTCATCAGAAGATTTCACTTACTAATTTAGACTGATAGAATTTGAGAAAAAATTACCACTAATTTTCCTTATTTCTTGCAGTTCTGGCTGTTGTTGAGGTGAATTTCTGGACAAGTGACTTTCAGGTAGCTTCTTTGACATCTTCACAGAACAGAACTCCTGTTCTTTGAGCTCAGCTAGATTTTCTGAAGTTTTAAGGTTAGTTTCCTTAGGAAACATACATGTTTGAAGATCTTCCTTCAGATCACACTCTGAAGAAGTATTTTTAACGAGAACTGTATTTTTCAGTGTACTTTCTTCTTTACCCAGAAAGTCTTCTGGAAGAGTTAAATTCTTGTTAACGTTTATGCCATTTGCATATTTCAGAGTTACCCAGTTCTCACTGACAACATCAGTGCAAATGTCCTCTTTTGGTGCTGAGGTTTGGTTCTCTGCAATCTGATTCTGTTTCTCATCAGCAGCTGCAATGGCACTGCCAGCTGCTGTGTTTGGTTTCTGCTTACTGTAGTAAACTGAACATTTGTGTTTCTTCTGAGAGTGGCTGTAGGTCGCAGGACTTCTCTTTGCCGCACTCTGACTTCGGCTGGAGGAAGTGCCTACAGACAGGAAGCCCTTCCCTTTACCTTTATCTGAGGAACTATAGGAATCCATAAATGTCTTGCAGCTTCCCCTGGAAGGAAAAAAAAAAAAAGGGGGGGGATTTGTTTTTCTTTACAAAGACATCATGAATTGTTTTATGAGATATTGTTGTAAGAAAAGAAAGGGGGGCATATTCACAAGCCATGAAATTGCTTTAGGTCTTTAATTTACCATACCAGCTAAGCACATTCTGATTTCAGTGAGAATTGAGCAACACTCTAAGTATTTGCTCAGACTTCCAACACACTTACATGCTTCAATGAATAAGTGCCTGACTCACCACCCAAGAGGGTCAGATTGAGAACCATCAATGCATTTTCCATTCTCTCCATGGCTGACACACCTGGTGTATCCTTTACTTTCATCATACAATTTTTACCTTATGTATTACTGGCAATATTCAAGATTAATAAACCCCTGAGTTCCTCCATTCCTCCTGGTTTGAGGTGGAAGTTCTCTAAAAAAGGCTTCTTGGAACACTTTAAACCAGCACACAGCAATATCAGTGAGAGTCAGACAGAAAGCACCACTCCACAATAAACAGGGTAGAAAAGAAGAAAAAAAAAGTATTTTTACTTGTAGGAATCAGAGCTGATTACGTCAACAGAGTTGCTGTTCTGCTGTGGTGAAGCACTAGGATTTGGCCTCTGTCTTGATTTCATGAACTCTGCTAGAATATACTGGGCTTGCTGGAAGGCTATCAGAATCACTCCAAGCAGGGACAAACTGCCAAAGAAAACAATAGATACTGGTGTCTACAACTTTCAGGAATATTCAGTGAAAGAGTTAAAAAACTTCTAACAAGATACACTTCTCAAGTATTTTTTCTACAAAATTCTACATAAAAAGACAGACAAACTCAAAATAGAGCCTTAAAAATGATAGTTGTAATAGTAATAGTATTTTCTTTTCCTTTTTTTCCTTTTTTTCCTTATAGGCCTTACTAGTCATTAGCTCAATAAAATAACTCAGTCATGAACTTTAAAAGAAAAAAAATAGAACAAAGAAAAAGCTCATTCTAAAAGAGATAATCCTTGAAAGTAATTTAGAAGTAACTGTGTTGTAGCCTTACATCATATCATATTATGATGCATGACATCATATAATAATATGACCTATCAGCCCACTGTTCATTTATGATAGTCATCATCATTATTTAGGTATTTATTCAATACTGTTTCTTTCTTTTCCTAGAGAAAATGCTGGCATAAAATGAGCTACAAATGCCATCATACTTCTGAACTAAAAATTTCGATGCAAAATATCCTCTCTCTCCATGATGTACGAATTGCATCAAACATATATGGATCAAAACAAAAATCTTTCTAATTCATCAAACCACCTTCTCAATCATGCAGTGTAAATTTTGTTAGCAGGAAAACAGAATGAAAAATTCCTGCTTTTTCAGATCCCTGTAATCTTCTTCTGTTGCATCTAGAAGCAGGCAAGGTGGTCACTGCTGTTACTTCATTTGTGTTCTGACTGTTTCCAGTGTCCAAACCACACAAGCAGCAGCACAGTGTGCAGGGCAATCTCAGTCAGGGATGCATCAGCCCATGTGTGTTATCACCACGGCATTCACATGCACTGCATCTTGTAGGAGCTCTGGGGTACTGTGAGGAAAGCCTTACCTTACAAAGAGGACAGTGAGCCTCCAGAAAGACTCTTCCCAGCTGGGTCCTGGCACCACATCCGCACACAGCGGTAGCAGATGGTGAGGGAGAGTCACATTGAGTGTGAAGTGGAACTCCAGATCAGCAGCAGTCACCAGTGTGAGCTCACGAATTACCCATGAAGATGTAAAGTCAGGAGTGAATCTGTCAGGAAAAACAGAGGTGGTGTTACTTTTTCATTGTTTGGCTGAATTTTACTTTCTGAAGTCACACTGATAACAAAAATACAAACAATATGATGATGACAACAGGAACAACAATAATAATAAGAAAACTAATTTAATAAAATTTATCAATAATTTAATAGCATTCTTAAAATTACTAAAATATTGCCTCAATTTATTAATCCAGTAATAACAGTTTAGTTATATGAAATAATATGATTTAATAATATTTTTTAAAGCATACTTAAAGAAAGTGTCCACTATCTGCTTAAACTGTGCAGGTGGCATTAGGTCATCTTAAATTGGCAAAATATGTGGGTTTATTGTGACTCTTCACAGTACTCTTGTTACTGTGACATGTTTTCCTTTTATCAAGGCATATACATAATCAACTCAGGTTAATCAACAAAAGCACAGCTGCCCAGCATACAGCCAGCATGATTTCAGAAAGGGCCAGGTACTAGGGTACAAAGCTGGAAAGATATAGAAAGCAGAAGAAACACCAGATTTGTCTCGTCTTCTACTTCCCTGACCCATTTCAGTATTCTACTTGATTGCTAGAAGGTATAACTTGCCTTTCTAACCAGTAGAGGTGAAATCTGTTGCATGGGAAACCACAATTACTTTACTACAGTAACATTAACTTTACTTTTGCTTAAGTCACAGTAGTATCTTTCACTCAAGGATAGTTTAAAAAGAATCAGTTTTAGACTAAGTGCAATGTTGGGAAAACATGACTAGATTGTGGTCAGACTACTTGGAACAAGCTTAGAGAATAACAAGCAAATAAAAAATTGTGGCAACTGTTTTGTTTTAATTTATTACTTCATAATGCACTGATAAAAGCATGTATGCTGCTTTTTAAAAATAACGGGTCATATAAAGAACCAGTATTATATAATCCGTTTGTTAGTGTTTTCCTGAGGGAAATTCTTACTAAATTTCTATTCAAAATTTTGTGTGTGGTATGCCATTGGAGTGTCTGTTTCTGAAATTAATTATTTCAAATTTCCACTTCAGTTATTTTGTCAACAAATTTGTCAGTGCTTACACAATGCTGATTTCTCGTGATGAATTTTGAGCTAGGAAAAATTCCCGACAGTCCAACACTTCAAATCCATATCCTTGGCAACTGTAACCATTGATTTTCATTGATGAAATTGTTATAGGAAGAGGCCCAATATTCTCTACTTTGAAGTTCTTCGTAATGGATAGAATTTGCTTGCTGTCCTTCAGTTCTTAAAGGAAAAAAAAGAGAGCAATTAGTTTACAGTGCATGAAATGATTTTCTTACATTCATAAATAAATTGCTATTTTTACTTACAATTGAATAAAAAAATCCATAAGTGACCAAGATCTAATACAGACTATTCTGCAGTATTGATTTCTAAAACTTTTAGCTATTATTAGTCAGAATTTTGACAAAACAGAATCTACACTTCTCATGGCCAAACTCTTCAGCTTTGACCATTCTGTTTCCGTCACATTAATGTTCTGTATGAGTTCCAGTGCAGAGCAAAGCAGGCAGCTGCACAACCAGAGACCTGTGTCTCCTTACTCACGTCGTCTGCAGTCCATTAGTGTCGCTTCTGGCACCTTAAATCGAAGGGATCCTCCTGCACCTGGGAGTCTTCCTCCTACTTTAAGCAATTCTTTGGCTCCAAAGCCTTCTACATTGACCACATCCAGAACAGTTAAGTTGTTTCTGCCATAAAATAAAAACCAAGCAGTCAGCCACTAAAGCACAAATTAAGTTTGCGAAGTCGTGGCTTTGCTCTCTAGGTGCCAAACCAAGATAACAGTGTGTTGGAACAGAATCGGGGGCAAAACCTGGACAGGTTTCCCCTAAACAGAGACAGGATCACTCCAGAACCAGCCACTAGTGAATTTCAGACAGTGAAGGAGCAAGTTTAGTGACCAGTGCCCCTAGATAACAACTGTGTCACCTAGTGAAAATGGTTGCTTCCTCAATCAATAAACTCCCTTTTCCTACAAAGGTAACCAAAGTTTGGCTGCATAAAAGACTCACTGGATCCATAACTCCTATCATTATTAAGTCAGGTTGAAAACAGCAAAGCCATACAATGTGTTTCTCTTTTAACTCAAAACTGCCTCAGAACAGTCACATGCATTTTATAACCCTCTGACAACATATCAAGAAAATTAATGACTGAGACATAAGGCACAAACACACTCTAAGCAATTTTTATTAAACCAGAGGTATTCTGACTTTCAAATTTTGAGCATTTGTCTATGTGCCAGGACTTTGCAAATTCATTTTTACATTGAGCTGCTTGATTCTCACTTACAACTAAAATTTGGCTTACCTGATTAAAATAAGGGAAGCTACTCTTTTGTAGTCAAGAGGTGTAAAAATTACACCAACTTTTCTGGTTTCCAGTGGCTGTAAAGTTAAACAAAGCATCTCAGAACTGCATTTCTTGCTGATGAGGTCCTCTTGATGTGCATTCTGTTAAACAAAAAATGCACTTCTTACTCACAGAAAACATGTGTGTTTATAGATGTCAATAAAGAAAGCACTGTATCACCACTTAGCACCACACAGAATATTTTTGGCAAGGTGCAGAAACTGCTAACTAACTCGTTATAACAAAGTCTTTCCTTTTGACAACATAAAACATCAGATAAGATTGTTTATTTGAGCAAAAGTTCATATTACTGCACTTATTATGAGGAATGTATTACTTCATTATTTAAAACAGCTTTTATTTCCTCAGATGGAAAAGAAATTATATAGTGTCTTTCATATTCAAGAAATCCTGAAACACTTCACAACACAAGAACTGAAGTGTATTGATTGCACAGGGAAATGTGGCAACCATTATACCCTCAGTGCATGACTTACAACTTGATTGAAGTGAGAAAGGGACTGCTGGTAAATATGCTGACCATTTGAGTCACTGGAAGGAAGCCAAAGAGAATTCTCAACTATATTAATTGAAAACCAGAAATACCAGAAGTTCACTTAGTCTGGAAATAATGTAAATATTTTTTTAAATACTGTTGTTTATTCTTTCTGCCTTTGAAAAATGAAAATAGCCCTATAACTTGCTCTTCCAGAACTGGGGTCCCCTCTTAGAAAGGGGTGATCAGATACCTATAGCAGTCAAAAAAACCATAAAGATTCCAAAATGGGTTCTCACTTGGTTGTTTCTCATTTATGGATGTTGTACTAAGAGCTTTTCTGATCTTTTTCAGTTCAAAATGTTTTTATTCTTAATCTATTTTATGAAAAATAATGCACAAAAACTATCAGAACCTGCATTTAATAATCAGTATTTATTAAAAGCAAGCCATGTATGGTATTTGCAAACTTCCCCATGTCACTCCCTACAAAGATGAGCCTAACAATTCACTGCACATAAACTGACTAGGAAAACTATGTCAAATGCAAAAATTTAAATACTAGCAACTATTTATTTGGTTAACAAGGCAAGATCTGTCTCATATGTGCTGAAAATCTACCTAAACATGCATGTTCCCCCTAGCTCTTCAAACCTAATGAAAACCATGTATTGCACACACTGATGTGAAGATCCACAGCTATTTTTCCATTTGGCCAAGAGTACGGTGTGTGGGACTGTGGAAGTTCACTCCTACCCCTACGCTACCTTCCCTTTTTCAGAGTGTGCCTACAGGCTAGGATTTATGAACTGCTGTCTCCTCTCTTTTACAACAACTCTTACAACTGTTGCCAGAAAGGAAAGGTCAGCTTTGATTAGTGCAGCAAACATACTCTTTTCTTTTTACAAGGTACAAATATTTCATTAAGATCTTAAAGCATATGTGCAGAAACATGTATCTACACAGGACATTAAAGATGAAGCTGCAGTATGCCCAAACAGCAAGGAAAATACATTAATTTTGTACAAACCAGAAATCTTAAGAAGAGATCCTCTGGGTAGTCTGGATAGTACTCTGCTCACCAGAATATGCCAGCATCCCTGATACAGCATTTTCTCTGTCATCCATGACACAACATCTCAAGGTTTAAGCATAGCTCAGCACTGGTGTGCCATGGTCAAGTGTTACTACACTCATTCAAAAATGAGGCAATGGGAACCAGAGAGAACCATGACACTCCAAACCTGAATCCAGAAATTGCAATGGCATGAAGCTGATATGTAGAAATCCCAGCTCCTCCTCCCATGAACTACCTGACACTACTTCCCTGTTCTGAGAAGAGAACCAGCCCGCTCCTGACATCACTGACTCCACAGCCTGACACTTCATGGTCAGCCTGGAGCCAAGGGTGAAGCCCCAACAGCAAATCGACACACTTGCAGGCATGCATGCACTTCCTCCCTACAGCTGTATTCAAAACTGACCCAAATCATGAAAATAATTAACTACAAAGATACAAACCTGATGAAGAATCAAGAAAACACTGTGAAACTACTTTAAATTGCACTTGGGAAGAACGCAGAAATAGCATAGCTAGAAAAATCCTTCTCTAGTGTGTCAGACCACTTCTACCAAAATTAGCCATCTTACCCTGTGAGAACATTCATCCATTAGCCTGAATTCGGTGGTTGTGAAGTTAATAGCTTGCACATTTATGCCGAACCTAAATAAACCAAAACAAAAAGTTAAGCATTTGAAACCCAACCTGTCAGAACTGCTTTGACTTATTTTTACATGCTGGCATCTATTCTTAAATAGAGACTACTTTTACAATTGCTTTTTGGCAGTGTGAAATATGGTGGAAATGTGGGTCTGCATTTCAAAAGAATATGCTGCAAATCAGTTTTATGTGGACTACACACATTTGGAAAACAGACAAATGGCTGGGCATTTTAGGTCTGTCAGTGTAGAATATTGTAAAAGATAACAGTCAAGAAATAGAATTTCTAAGCCACACAAACAAATTCCCTGAAGCTCTTTCTGCTCACATAACTGTTAAGAAATAATCATTATTAAATCTCTTATAATTCATTCAAATATCTCTCTTTCTGCTCATGATTTGTTTGGGACAAATTCCTATTTTCCATCACATAATGTGCAAATCAAATTCACTTAAAACAATTGATTTGTTTGTCCAAATGCAAATTATAAGCATTTGACATAAAGTATTAAAAACTGACATAAGAAAACCAACACATAAAATGTAGATTATAGACGAATGGACCTCCAGCCACTGAATGAAAACTCACTTGTCATAACTGTCTATGACATTAGCATAAAAAGAACCAGTTAATGGATGTGATTTCTGGTGAACTTAGAAGATCTGCAGAAACAAAAGTGTGCAAATACAGAGAAAATGTAATTGCAAACCACTAGAAAGGGTCTATGTGGAAATCATATTTAGTATGCAAACAGATGGAGTTATTAATGTGCATATATATACACAGACATATATATGCACATGCATGTACCTATGTAAAGGAATGAGGTTAAGGAAGCAATTACACAGGGATTGGGGACCCCAAATAAGCAAGTTACACCTAAGCACAGGAGTAATCCCACTGTCTCTAACCACACACAACTACCACTATAACATTTTTTCAAAGATAAGTGTGACAGGGCTTATTTTGGTGAGCTTCAGCTCACTCACCAGGTCCCTTTATTATTAATCTAACTCTCCTCTAGATTTCTCATTAGATCATCATCTCAAATCTAAAACAGAAAGGCTAAAACAATGCAGAAACATTTACTTAGCTGACCCTAAATATTTATGCTGAGGTTGCTCCCTCTGAATCTGCATTTTGCTTCCCAGTTCCTGTTTCCTCTTTGACCAGGGTTATTACCTAAGAAAAGGCTAAGAAGAAAACTCTTCTCTGGGATGGTTCAGATACCTTCTTTTCACTGATCTGTCTACAGACTCTATAGATACCAACCAGCACTGTGAGGAGATGCACAAGCCCCACTCTGTAAGCTGTTCACCTCACCTAGGCAGCTTGCACTAAGCCTCAGATACTAGAAGATGAACAACTATAATATATATCTGGCAGACACAATCTTGCTTAAAACATGTTAAATATGTGTTTTATCAATGATGAGGTACATCACAAAGGCATGCACCATACAGGGAGCTGCCCTAAACAAGGGTCTGTCTTCCAAAATGGGTGAGAACATAATCCCCATCTAAGTAACACTTTGAAAAACTAAATAAAACCCAGTAAGTCACAATCATAAGGCATAGCAAATAAGATCTTTTAAAAGGGAAAACAGTATCCTGAGATAGTTATTACCATTTGTTCAGCAGACTCAGTGAAGCTTGGGGATCAGGGTAGTAAGAAAGAGGCAGAAGCTGCAACGTAACTGGGAAGGATGAAGGGTTTCTTAGTACGAAATATTTTACCTAAATTGTTTGGAGGGGAAAAGAAAGAGTTAAAAACTACATATTTGAGAACTGGTTGGTAAAATAATTCAACACTAGCAATACAATCTGCATTTTCAAGGGACTTCAATCTGGCTCTTGTGTCAATGCAGTATAATCATACATGTACATGACTGCATGTAACAGCAGGACATGTCACCACAATGTCAGAATTTGCAAAATCAGCTAAGACTGCATTTTGAACCACATATACAAAAATACAGACCACCCCCACTCCCCAAACAACACTTTCATTTGGATTTTGATTTATGCAGACAGATGTGAACAAAGCTCTAGCACAGAAGAAAGTAAAGTTAGTGAGGTGCCACCCCTTCTTAGAGAAGTCTGAATGCAAGCAGGTTATAAAAATTTCTGTAATGACTAACAATTAAATTGGACAAATGGAATATTAAGGTAATTCACAATATGTGCATATGAAAACTATTTCCATATGACTGGTTCTGGCCTAGGCTAGGTTAGTAGAAACCTAAATCTGACAAACAAGAAAGAAATAACTGTCAGTGTGGCTGGAAGATACATTGCTCTGCAAGTGTTGTATCTCTCGTAAATGTTTTACACACTTCTGTTAGACAAGACAGTGGCATGAAGAAAGCCATCCTGTACAGCCTTGCATGCATCACTAATGACAACACACCCTATCCCTAGTCCCATGTTCAATTATTTTACCACAAGCATGTAACTTATACAATGAACACAAGGAAAGTTTAACAACAACAAAAAATTGTTGGTTAAAACCTACACTGCTTTACTCTTCTCCTTGTACTAAAGTATTACAACTAGCAAGCTAGGAAACTTACCAAAGAACCAAAGGGATACAAATTTAGTGTCTTAACTGAGATCAAAACACCAGTTCATAAGCAGTATGAAAATGTAAGCAGCACCAAATATTAATCACAGACTTTGTTATTTAAAAAAGCTAAACACACAACTCAGAAAAAAGTGTAGTAACAACCATCCTCACCATACTACTTTTAACAGCTGTGGCATTAAAGTTGAGTGTAAGGCCAGGCTCTGTAGTCAACCGCGGCAAGAAAAAGGCAAAGGATTCCTCTTCAGAGTTCTTCTGATGTGTAAAGCGAGCTGATCCTAAAATACTTCTCCTGCTTTATTGGCAAAAGCAGAAAAATTAATTAGTTTTTTTTTTTCTTTCAAACAAAGAACTACAACAAGATGATTTACCAGGACCCGTAATTGCATGAATTTATCTATCCTTGGAAATGGTCTCTACAAAATAAAGTCCATAAAGCTGTAGCTTAACAGCTAACTTTTGTGTATGTAGGCCAGGGACTAAAAACCATGAAAGCCATTCAAAGAGCCTGAGAAGACTGCTAAGACTGCTATACAACCTGATGATGAAGGACTCATGCAACTCCATAAATGAGCTGGTAAAACATGCTTAGACTGCCTTCATGCCAGGTAGCCTTGGTGAGATAACTAGAGTCAGAATATTATTTACATTTTAGGCTGAAAAGCTTACTTGTGGCTGGCAGTGCCTTGAAATGAAAGCTGGAGGAGTCTGGGGTGCTCTGAAACTCCATGTGTTTCAAGAGAACTAACTTAAGTGTAGAAAATGGTCCAGAATGTTTTGTTCTAATTAAGAATACTTCAGAACAGAAATATTCTTTCTTACAACACTGTACTGGCTTGAATTAAGAACCTCAACAGATTCTGTACAGACCTGCATGCTTCTCCACGTCTTATTTTTTGCCATCTTTCATAAAGGTCACTTGCAAGCTCGGAATCCACGTCCCAGGCAGAATGGTCCAGAGAGAGACTCTTCTGCCAAAGCAGATTTGCTGAAAGGATAATAGATATTTCAGATTTTACAGAGATAATATTTGCTCCTTCCATCAATCTACTTGAGAACATGAGTAATCAGTATCTGCAAAGCATCCAGACCCAAAACAAAAAAGCCAACCCACTTTTCCCCTTCAAAGTGAGAATATGCAAGGGTATATATATTATCTTCCGTATCAGATTTGTTTAAAGAAATACATCTGCAAAACCAAAGTAACTGTACATGCAAAAAGAGAATGGGCATTGCACAGGCTGTGTATGCTTTAGTGAGACCTTTTTATTGCTGCTATTCCTAATAGATGCCACTGAAGAGTAACCATGTCATCAGTAGTCTACACAGTACTCTCTACTGATGGCAGTAAAGTACCAAGATAATATGCTACACAGTAGTACAAAATACATGACACAGCAGGGAACATAACAATTCCCAGTCTGGCAAAAACAGTCTTTTCATTTTAGCTTTTTTTCTAGATGCTGATAATTTTCTCAACTTCTTCTTAAGATGAATTGCAAAGCTTTACATCAGTCTAAAGATTAGTGTATTTTAGAAAGTTACGCTCATATTGGTTCAAGCATTTTCACACAGCAGAAAGTAGTTAAAAAAGCAAGCTTCTTTAGAAAGAAAACAAAAAATACTTATTTTGAAAGTGCATGTACTTTATTTTACAATCCTTAATGTTTAAAGTAATGAATTGAGATTGGTGATTATTGGAATAATCCAACTACAATTTCTTTAGGTCAGTATTTTCAGGCTAATGCATTACACATTTCTGTTTAACAAATAGTAGTATCCTAAAGCAGAAGGCAGAATACCTGTAAGTACAGATCTCATTATGTGTATTATTAGAATGAAAATAAAGTAAGCAACAAGTATTCAGTTGTATTAGCCATATTCCTTCATTGAGATTAAAAAATAACCAAAAAAGCAAACATTTTCTTCTAAGATATGGACCTTAGCATGCAAGTGTCTCAGTAAGTGTTCAAGTCACATGTTTCTGTATGTCACCTCAATTCTCCTTTTCACATTTGACTGACTACTACTGCCTTCCTCATAACCTCACACAAAGACACATTTTAGGAAATGTCATCTTGAAAACATTTCCAGGAGAGTGCTCAAATATTTAAAGTCTATGCTATCAGCTGCCTTCTGAAACTCCTTACTGCACAGAGAGTAAAAACCACTATTCTGAACCAGCTTTCAACAGGTCTAACATTCTTCAGGCAGTATCATGCTATGTTAAATCTATTGCTGTATTTTGGTAAATGCTAGACAGGTACTTGAAACAGCTCCCAGTATTGCAGTATCTGGAGATAGATTCTTCAGTCCCAGAAAAAAAGAGACCCCTTCCTTCTGTTTCATATGATACAGTGTTAAGGATGCTGTTTTATAAGCCTGATAAACCATATTTGCTGAAATCTATGGAATTATTGCTATGGGAAAGAGATAAAGAGGAGGCCTTCAAATTTAACTCTAGATATAGGCAGATATTGGTCAAATTTTTTTGTTTGTTTTTCATAAAAGAATTCCCAGGATCTGGGCCCAGGTTATGCACATTTTCTAATAACTTTGAGTTAGTGGACAGTTTTACCATTCTACTTCAACATCTCTCAAGAAAACATGAATGAAGAAAGAAAAGGGCAATACATCATCAATGAGAATTCATAGGAGAGTCTTAAATACTAAAATTTAAAAAAAAATGTTTCAAGACAGAACAATAGCTCAGCACATGCTATGGAACTAGATGTCTGAAATACTGTGCTGTGTACTCAGTTCCCTCAGCCATTTATACACTCCCAGAACATCTGTTTTTAAACAAATGTAAAACTAAGTACTTGCATGAACAATCACAATATTCTCATTACAAGTCCTGCTATATAAAATGAATTTTCTACAATAAAACTAGTCAGATGCCAAAAAAAGCCTTAGATGAGCCTACCTGAATCAGACTTTCCCAAGTAGCACTGAATATCACAGTGGGCAATTGCTTCAAAATTTAGATCTCCCTGCTGGAAAAACAAAACAAAAACATGACAAAACAAGAGAACAAATTTCACTTTCTCAGTGCATAATTTCATAGACTCAAATAAGAGAATTTTGAATTAAGAGAATTAAGTGCCAAGAGAACTATAATTCCATTGCTGTTCAACTCTGGGGACTTAACCTCTCAATCTTCAGAATGGTCTAACAGAGTGGTCTGGTACTGAGCTTTTGTTTCAGGACTAAGAACAGATTTCTGGCCTGAGAGAGACACCGCTGCAGCTGGGTTTGCAGTGCATAATAATAATTCAACACACACAGCTGAACACCATACCTTGGACACAGTCGAATATATCTGCAGAGGTATTTCGAACATCACTCCCACGTTTGTGGACAAACAAATACTAGAGAGCACATTTGTTACAGTGTCTTTCACATTGAGCTTCAAAGAAAAAACATTCCAGCAGCCTGGAGGTAGAGTCAGAGGTTCAGCAAAGTTCAGAATCTGAAAAGAATCAAACAACAGATGAATTAAAATTGGTACAGCACTTTCTGACACAGGTGGTACCTTGAAAAATGCAAACTTTCTTGTCTTTTGTGTTTTTGCTGTTACTACATGGCCATATGAGCTCATACCTGATCCAAACAGTGCACTTATACAAATCCCAATATCAAAACATAAGAAGAGCCATTTAGATGCCTACATCATGTGCTTATTCCTAAACCAGATTTGCCTGCAGTTGTGCCAGTAAATCATTGGCTTTAAAGGTCATCTATGCACTAAAGGCTTCCACTATGAAGAAATGCTGAATCCTAGAGAGCACAAACACACACATTCAACAATTCTGAGAACAGAGCAATGGTCTGTAATTTGATGCATCTGTAGCTGCAACTCAAATGAAGGAACAGTTGTCAATAAAACAATACAAAAGTAAGCTGGACACTGAATAATGCCTCCTGAGACAGTAACCTAATAGTTACAGATGTACACAAACCTTTATTTTTAATGGATTCCAACCAGTTCTAAGAACACAGAGTTCTTCAAAGAACCCATTTTGTATGTCAAAGGTCCATATCTTTAAATCAAATACAAAACTTTGTACAAAGAAGAAATAAAGCTTACCTTAACTAGGTTCTTTGTTTCTCTGGCTATGAAGACCTCATTCAATTCAATGCTGAAGTAAAAATTGTTTGTAAACCATATGGACCAATATCCTGAAGTATTATGATGTGGTTCTATATGAAACAGTGCTGCAGAAGGATCTACATCAAAATACCTATAAGTAAATACATCAAAAATATAAATACATCTGCTATTGTCCTTGAGTACACAACAAGTGGTCTATACAAGAGAAGATAACATAGCATTCTTGTATAATGGGGCTCTTCTAAGTTTTCCCAGAGAAGAACAAAATTATTTATTTGGGAATAATGACATGTGAGAGTAAAAATTCACAGGAACCATGTAAAAGAGAGAGGCAAAGTATCTACCCCTCTTGTCATACTATAGTACAACATTGCCCATTGCTTTATGATACAGCAGGCTGGATGAAATTGGCAAAAGATGACTGAAGCAGGAAAAGACTTCACATTTTTTCTAAGACTATCCAGCTTCTGCATTGCACTAAAAAGGGTACTGGAAATTTTATCATAGACTAAGCAACATTTACATGATATAAGCTCCTAAAGCACATCTTTTTACGGGCTCCTAAAATTCTTCTTGGGATGAAATACAGAATTATTGCTTTAAATGTGACATTTGGCAAATGACACAGCAACAATAGGAAGAAGCCTCTTCACTGACCTTGGAATCAGCGTGACAAAGAAAGTTAACTTCATCTCTTAAAAGTAAGGCACAGTATTTTCATTATAGTATCAGTGCACATTAACAAACAAACAAAAATCCACTGCCAACCTACCCTTCCATCACAGGACAGAAAAGACAGGCTTTGAGTGTTGTAGTGCCTTTCAAAAGATAGTTCTTGCTGTTGTCAGAATAAAGACTTTCACTGTCACAGGATGCAGCTGGGAAAGAGCAGACACATGGAATACATCAGCCACAAGCATATCCAAAATTATTTTCATGGGAAGATTTGCAAGAACACTAAAAAGGGGAACCTTTGCTGGTGCAATCCTCACACAGGTGAGTAAAGTATCTAATTGTTTGAGTCCTAAGACTCAATTTTTTCAGAGATTTCAAACCTTGCCTTAAGAAGTATTCATGAATGACAAACACCTTCAAAAATACACACACAATAAAGCTGTGAAGAGCAATTTTAACCACCTGTCATTGGCATAGCATTCTTACTAATCAGAGCACACTGTCTTCTTTCAACAAATGAAAAATTCCTCTGAAAAAGAGAATCACTTAACATAACAGTCCCTTCTTTCTTCTTATTCATCTATGTTTTCCCTAGGAAAAACATGTCTCAATGTCATTATGAAAGCAGCTTGTTTCATTAATGTTTAAAGTCTGTACACTGCAGTCTAGTGGCCAGAACAGGAAGCAGGCTGGAGTCAGGAATGCTTAAATGCCAATCTCTGCTCTTCCACAAACATTTCTGGTTTCAGGCAAGCCTCTTCAATGGTCCTGCCAAGCAATGTCATAGAAAATGACCACCCAAGCACAATAGCCTTTTAGAAAACATATTTTAAACAGAAAAAAAACCCCACATAAACCATAAAAGGATGTTGAAAAAGCATATTCAATAATCATGCTTATTGTAAAGTCAGCTAACATTTCAGCAACTGTTTTTTGCCCCGTTTTCAAGTATGTATAGCTTAGAGCCTTCAACCAGCATAAGAAGAACCACATATACACAAAAAGGGTGGAAACTATTAGGAAAAAGAATTCATCCTCTTTCTCAATAAAGTCTAGACAAGATGATTTTGAGATCTTTCAGGGTCTCTTCTGAAAAAACTACCCTTTTTCAGCAATTAAATCCTATTTAATCATATTATCTCCAAATATGGGTAACCTGTACCTTTACAAGAAATAGAAGCAACTTTTGTGAAGTTAGTAGATGATGAGGATAGCAGTACTGGCTCAAACTCCACAGCTGATGTGTATTTTTGTGACAACTGCCGTATTTCCTGCAGAAAGACAAGACAAGTTATTTTTATAGCAGTACTACCCTTATTAGTGCTGCAGCTCCTGTATTAGTCTATCTTCTTGTCAAATTTGCATGCCACCATCTGCCATTTTCTCTTATCTTCTAAATCAACACATGAATTTTTATTCAAGTTAACAGCTCTTACATATTAAAAAAAAATAAATCCATCACTGAACTACAAGATGTCATCTCAAGGATCTACTAGACATTTAGGCACACTTTAAAACTTAGAAGTGTGACATTTGCCACCAGCAAAATCAATCTGCTATTAGAGAAAGCTAATTCCCTAATCAAATTCACCACGCTAAATTATGACTTCCTGAAGCCCACGATTACCTGTATATGCACCAGGCTGTTTCCAGAATGCATGATATACACATCTACTGATGAATGACCTGTCCAAAGGAATAAACACCATGGTAAGATCACCAAGGACAGAAACACTTGTTTTGTTAGACACTCACAGGAGAAGCAATCCCAATTTAAATTTTAAAATCTTTGTGTGACAGATACCTTTGTAAAAAGGATGAACTGTTCACATCCTGAGCTGGCAAACGTTCAAGAGAGAAATAAAAACACTTTAAAATGTAAGCTTTAAAATGCAAGCATTTCCAGGAAATAATGCAAGTCGGATTCAGCACTTTGGGCTCAAATCAGGAATGGTCCTATCACCCAGTAGGCAGCAAACTACTGCCTAAAGCAACAGGAGACAGGGGTAACACAGCTTTCACCTGCTGGTAAGGTGGTACAGCTATGTTGGGGAACCACCTTTGGTCACTGGCAAAGCTATGGTCCCATCCACAGGACAGTAGGAAGACGTAGAGGACCAAAAGAAGGGCAGCAGGACAGAGTAAGAGGCGACCATCTTACTACAGTCCTTCCACAAGGAAGGTAATTTTAAGTTTTTGCCCTTGCTTATACTTGCATTAAATCAGTGTATGCAGGCTGACATGAAAGGACGTTCTCTACCTGACCAACCACGATTTCTAATAATGTGTGTGCTTTGCTCAGCTGCTTGAAAGCAAGACTGCAAGTGTCAGCTTCCAAAAGAGGGTTCAAGGTATTGATTATGAGCTCCACATACCCCACAGCTTCTCCTCTGCAGCCTTCCCAGCTGGTTAGTTCCCCTGTGCAGACCCTGCCTACCTGCTGTCCCACCAAGAGCTAATCCAAAAGGCTAATAGGACCAACCTCTAGCACAGACAGGACTTATAATTGCACTATATTTAACAGAAAACAGCCCTAAAAGATAACTTCTAGTACTTTAACTATTGAAAGTGTTAACAGTGAGCACCCTTGACAGAACAGATGGGAACAATTTTCTACCAGCATCAGAATAAATGTACATCCACAACTCAACATAACAAAGCCCTGGCATCTCACTGGCAGGGAAACTAGGTTTACAGTGGGTATTTCAGTTTCAGCTCTTGAAATACCACATCACAGAACAGGCATGAGGGAAACAGAACATTTCATAGATATTGTTTTGTGTATATTGTATCTATTGTTTTGTGACTAGATTTTGAAATGCATTTCTCAAAAGACAAAAAGATCATGCTCCACTTCAACAAGTATGTTAAAAATATAATTTTAATGTGGATTCTTAAGCAGTTTCGTCTTCTCCAATCAGAAAGGAAAACTGGCAGAAATGTCTAAAAAAAGCTATTCTACTAGACTGCAAGGCTCTATAAATAATTTAAAATCCCCTGGATTTAGAGGATTTGCAGCATAAAGAAACCGCAAGGAGTTGATTGTTTTGCCTGTGGAATTCTAGCTTACAAGAACAAATGATGCACATCTGTATTACCTCATTACCCTACTTTCCATAATGGCCACTATCCCCAGTACCATATAAACCACTCTGCCTTCACAATCCCATTATGGTCAATTTAATTAATAGGAAACCAGAAATGCAGTTATAGAATTAAAAGGACCATGTTATCTTTCCACACTATTTAGGCATGGGGGACTGAAGAATGAAAGAGATCTAGTTTACAACTTTACAATTGTTACCTTCATGAAGAATGATGCACATTCTTGGTAACAAGAAAACTGTTTATGATAACTCTGCCTGACACAAATTCTCTGCTAGCTGTGTTTAACTGAACTTACTTGGTTTCCCTTACTTGTGAAATTAAGCTGTCACTGAATTTGATTCAATTTAGGATGTCAAATTACAAACGATGTATAAAACCAAGTTGAATTACACTTAACAGGTAGATTTAGGACTTACCTGAGGTCTTTGTTCTTTCCATTGCTACATAAACTATCAAAAGATTCTCCAGTAAGTATCGTCTGTGCTCCACAAAATCTTGCTGGGCATTTTCCACTCTTACTGTTAAGCTCATTTCTAGCAGCATTGGGTCATCAGACATAAAACAGCAACTCTGGAGTGAGACAAAGGGATATGGTGTGTGTGTGATGGGGGACAGAATAGAAAAAATTCATTACACTAATGAACTTTGAGAAATCAATCAGAGCTATTATCTAAGAGACAAGGTTTCCAGCACCAAAGTGCTAGCAAAACAAAAGTAATTAGGACCTTGGCTAAAATCTCAGCAGAAACCAAACACAGTCCAGGTACAGAGAGCACAGCAAAAACAAAGACAAAAACAACTAAAAAAGACACTGAACCTTGAGAGAATGCAAATTTATAAACTGTCTTAGTCAGTCTCACCTCAGGGACTGTAAAACAGTTTCCTTTGTTAAATCCTCTGCCTTCAATAAAATGTGCCATAAACAGACTGATGCATGTGTCTTAATGGTAGGAAGACAGTTCATGTTCACTGGTCTGTTTATAGTTAATTTTTCCAAATCCTGTGCTTTTGTCTCCATTTCTCACTGAAGTAATTTTAAAAAAACAAACATACATGTACAATCCTTAATAGAAAACACTGTTGTCTGGCTAGAATACTTCAGAAAAATACAAATAGGATTTTATTTCTGTCTGTAAGTAGTGGCTGCTGTTAACACAGCTAAGTCATAGCAACTACAAAGACACGGACACCATTTTGCAAAAATAATTAAAGCCAACAAAGCAAAATAGAACTAGACAACCAACAGTGAACAACATTAATTAGTCCTGCATCAAACCACAAAGGTCACTAAATTCAAATGACAAATGTCACTAAAGGAGGACTAATTTGCTCAGGATGGAGGATTAGGAGGAGAAAACTGGCACGGGAAGTGCTCTCAGAAGTGCAGCAGAACACTTCCAGCTCTTGAGATTTCAAGTGGCACAAGCAAGTACAGCAGAGGTGGGGAAGTGCCTGAGGATGGGATCACAGCTCCCACAGCATCAGAGACCCCCAGCACTTGAAATGGCTGCCAGGAGCAGAAGAAGGGCTGCCATGGAGACTGGAGCACAGGCGTGGTGTGCCCTAGGGAAGCTCAGACCAGAGGGCAGGAAGCTGCACTCCAGAGCCTCCAATGCTCAGGTGCACCTCAAGCCCCTCGATGCACTGCGCTCCGCAAGAACCAAACGGGGAAGCGAAGCGGCTCAGGAAGGCCGCCATGCGCAACACGTGATCCACACAGGAATACAGACATGGAGCCTGGGCCTCATTGCTCAAACTCTTACAAATTTCCTCATTGCTCCTGGGGAACGAGGTGCCACTGGCCACAGTGCGGGCCAGCTCCTCACCCACGGCATGGGCACTGAGCAGCACCCACCCATCCTGTAAGGACACCCAGAGATGGGGGGAGAACCCGGGTGGCACCGCCCAGGACAAGGACATAACCTCCTCTCCTGAGGGCTCAGTGCTTTTGGAGAGGCTAACACACTCTGCTAACACACTAGCCCCTCCTCAGCTCTGCCCAGCTGCCCTCATGCCCCCCTGAGAAACAGCCCAGGCTTCAGCCTCTCAGCTCACTGATCACTTCTCCCTGTGAACCAGACACTCATGAAAAGTTTCTGGAGAAAAGAAATTACAGAAATCTAATAATTTTTGTACCCTATGTCAGCAGTACAACACCTACACATCAGAATGCTTAGCCTGTTGGAGTGGTTTTGGTTTGTTTTCATGTGAGGTTTATGGGGTGGTGGGTATCATTTTTCATCTCCTTCTCTTTTAAGGATTTTAGTGTGATATGTGTGACACTTAATTTGTATCAGAGGACACAATTTTATAAAAACACAATTCCCCTTTAAACTGAGACACTGAAAACTGCATTTTTGCTAAAACTTCTACAGCTGTGGAAAGTGTCCCTCTAAGCTAGGCTTAAAATAAGAAGACTTACATAGATATACAACAATAATAAAACATACCTTAACTTGCTGATATGTGTCATTAGGTAAACTGCATTCAAGGTGAACCTGTAATAGACTAGCATTCATAGTTTCTGTCTGTAAGAAAGAGAAGTGAAGAAAACATCAAACACATTGCTTCAAATGTTATACAAATCCAGTTCACATACCATAATTTATAAAGATAATAGGACTGCTTCCTCACATATGTAACATAGCAATGTAAGGAATTTTTTTAATGAATACAATTACTCTGTACAGTAGTTCAGTAATCAGTCTCTGAATCTCAGGACTCCACCAATATCTACCTACTTATCAAACTATTATTACACATGATTATTAAATATTTATACAGCATCTGCATGAGAACTCTTACAAATTTTCTTATGCCAAAAAAACTGCATTCAACAGGGCCTTTGTGTGCAATATAAAAGCTTGTTTCCTTGTTTTCTGTGTATTTTCTTTGCTGATTGGGTACTGAAATACAGTATCTAGGCCAAGGACATAATGCTTCTTGGACATGGTCTGATACATAGGCTTCATGCCAAAATGGACAGACAGAAAATACTTGTTTTGCCTTTTTATTCACTAGAATAGGAAAAGAAAAGAAAATAAAAGATGACATTGACTGAGGCAGTTTGTAAAGCACTCATAAATCTAATGGGGTGACAGCACTAACAAAGCCAAGTATAGTTCATGAAAGCTATCTGGAAATCTGCACTGCCAAATTACTGGCACAAGCTGCACAGCCAGTATATCTCGATTCTGAATTAAATTTTTAAAAAAACAAAACAACAAAGAAAGCCAGAATCAGAATGGCAGACCTGTCACTCTGTCAGTGCCTGCCTTACAGCCAAACGTCATGCTAATTTTGAGGCTAATGTGGAACCCCCACCCTCTGTTTCTCTTGTGATACTGATACATCTGAGTAGGGTATCTGCAGGTTCAGGTTTTTGAAGGTGTTGATGAAATTGACTTTAAACAATTTCAATAATTTGATGCTGAAAAGCAAAACCGAAGAAACTTTTGAAGGTATCTAGTGCCCTATTTCATACCTTTTTAGTACAGGAAAAATAGGACAGGCAGGGGCACATGAGTAGAGAGATTTAGCACATGTGTGGCATTTCATGGAGTCCAGTTTTATAAAAGCACTGCCAAAAGGAAGCCAATATTTGCATTCCCAATTCAACAGGATTTCATACCAAAATGACTGAGGCTTCACACAAGAGGGCGACGTAGCCCCTGTAAAGGTGGTTAGTGGCAACTCAAACACTGTCCCCAGCACAGCTTTCTGGGGGACTCAAACCCCTGCAAAGTCTTTTCTTTTTTTACAAATGTTTTTGTCTGTATCAAATTGTGAGAGCAGGAAAAAAAAGCCACAAGCACATGGCTGCTAGTGGAGTTTTAACAAGGCAGTAAGATTACAACTTTGGAGGTCATTTTCTGATCAGATAAAACCTGATGCTTAGAGTTCCCTTTTCAGTGCTTCTTTGAAAAACACTACTGCTTTCATGGTCCTAAAATAAGGATTTGTTAGCACATATTCAATGCCACTGTCATTTAAAGTAACTTAAGACCCTATATCTGTATTAAAAAAATCAGCTACATCATATTTTTCCAGTCTTTGTTTTTCTTGACCTGACATAGATCTAACATGAGAACTGCTGTCCTTAAAATTGAAGCTTCAAATGTACAGAGGGGGGAAAAAATGCTATTGGGGTGTATTTGCTGTTGATCTGTTTTCTAGGGGAATTTTTTATTTCTTTGTGAGGCTATCTTCAGAACAGGAAATGGATTTGCATTTCTCTAAGGCAAACAATAATGCATAACTGATATGCCCAATATCTTACAGCCAAACGCCAGCAGGATGGCTCTGAGTTAACCCTAAAGAGAAGATAATGCATCTGAGAAGGAGACACTGTCAGAGGCAGAGTTTCCAAACAGACAAATCCAGGACCATCTCCCAGCAGTGCAATCACTCCATTTATACTGTAAACATCACTGCTAATGAATCAGAGCAGAGAGCTGAGTTACACAGCCAGTGTTTGTACCAGAGGCAAATTAAAAAGGAGAGGCACAGCAGGGAAATCTCAGAGAGAGCTCTGCAAAGCATTGCCACTTAATTACCTGGTGCCTCTATTTTGTATTAGGTACTCGGGCATGTGTACTTGAATGTACACACACACTCAGCACCCACAAATCCTATATGAACAAAGACAACTGATAGAAACCACACAAATGGTCTCAAAGATTTTTGGATATATTCTTGCATCATTACCAGGACTGTAGAGTTCAAATCACTTCCTGGAGTTTGCCTACAGTATCATTGAAAAAGAACAACACTCACTGAACAAGCCTCCTCTTCTTCCGGTAGGCTGATCCCTTAAAGTTCCTGTCCTGGACAATCCCTGGCCCTAAAGTGGTATTTCTACTCTGAATGGTGTTAATAAGCTGTCCCTGCAATAATGATTCAGCAGAGTTTCATCAGTTTTTTGCAGGCAGTTATCAGGATAGCACACCAAGAAAGCCCTACTGTCTTCCTTCCTTCCCTCTCCACACCCAAGCACCACACTTGGACACGTTTGCTTCTATGATCCTCTGCCCACCAGAGCAAAACATAGCTTAAGGAGTGTTACATTTCTGCCAGTACTTGCAGTATTTCCCAAGCTGTCAGTTCATAAACTTTGAACTCCTCTGGGCAGTCAGCAAAGCGGTATCCGTGTGTCTCCTACGATAAGACTTTCCACCCTGCACGCCTCTCCTCCTCTGACATTTCCACCATCCTGAACACAGCCAGGCAGTGATGTAGCTGCCCTCTTAGTGCTGTCCAAATACTAAACAATGCCAAAAACCAGGCAACTATAGCAAAGACTACACCCAGAAGCTGGGTAAACAAAGATGACCTATATGGGCTGCACCATCTGTTACGGCTTAGCGGTAACTAGCCACTGCTGAGTGGCCACGTGGATGTATAACAGATTCACAGTGTGGGACACTGCTCTTCTTCCTCCCAACAAGTGAGCCACAAACCCAGAAATCCTGGGATCCAGGAGGACAGGCAGAGCATGCCAATCCCAACCCTTCAAAAGCTGAAATGTTGAAAAGGGTAACAGAAAGATGAAGACATTCAACAGTAAGAAAGGCAAGTTTGCTTTTTTCTTTTCTTATCAAGCACAAAAGTTTCTGCTAAAAAACACGTGGGGATGAAGAAGAAAAAAGAAAGGCGTTTGTGCTTTGCCCATTAAAAGATAAAGACAACACACAAAATCCATGGGAGTTCATTTTCAACAAAAAATTCAAACACAAACCTGTCACATGGAAACATTACCGTAAACTTCCATCTATAATTCCCAGGTACATGTTATATTTCCAACACAAATAGCCTACAGTGGCAGAATTTTACCCATACCCCCTATTTACAATTCTGGCCTTGACCGTCAAAATAAATTGTTTCAAATTGAAGAAGCTACAAAAGGGGTGGTCAATTTGGTGAAGAAATGGACAGCCCATTACCAAAGGTACTACAGAGCATGGACACTTCAGCTTGACAAAGTGAAAGTTCCGATGCCACCTACAAACAATTCTAAGTGTCAGAAGCAGGATAAGTTACATAAATTAAATGTGCATCTCAATATATAAAATGGCCACAAAGCAATTTAAATTGGAAGTCAGGTGTAGGTTTCCAACCATCAAAGTAAGTACTTGGGTTAACAAGGCCTCCAGCAATACTGGTAAGTCACTTTACCTAGCACATAATGGGACTAAATGATGTCAAAGATTTTTTGGCCTTGATGACCAAGGATGTCAGTATTACTGAACAATTTAAACACAATCACCTTAAAATAGAAGGCAAAAAATAGACACACAGCATGGAGCTCTCTGTCTGAGGTTTCCAAGCAGTATAGGTGGACTTCAGAGGTAAGGACACCTTCCATGTTTCAAACTAAAAGCTGGCACACAAGGTTAGAACTCAATCATCCCAAGGTGAAAAGGGATGTGCAAATGAGGCTTACGCTATCCTGAATTTATTAAAATAGATATTTTATGTCAGCTAAAAATAAACAGGGGAAAAGAAATGTGCATATGACTAAGTGAGTATGCCTGGTTTGTTTTAAACGCCTTTTCACTACAAGACTCCATTCTATGTGTAATAGTTAAGTATCCTTCAGCTTGCCCTTGTGTAGTCACTCACTCAAATCTCATCAACCTCTCTTCCTTCTACATCTTCTGAGCTTAAAATATAACTGGACAAAACATAATGATACCATTTTTTTTAGTGAGATCTTGATGAGAATGTAAGGGAGATGAATTGAAGAAGGCACTCCTGGAGAGGACAGCGAGCTGTAGGGAAACATTCTTCTGACAGGAACCCAAACTCAAACCATAAACTCCTGTCCAATATTTAGATCTATAATCTTCAACAGCTGAGGAGCCCATCCCACTGCTGCTCAAATTGATAACATGCAGTGAAGAGTGTTACCTTAATTACAACACAGCACAGAAAAACTACACCCAGAGCTTGGAGAATTGAGTCAATGTTCTCTCCCACAACATGTCCTACAAGATTAGTGCCAGGTGTACCATGCTGCACTGCTAAACATGACCTCAAACTTGTACTCCATACAAATAAAACATAGGATAATGTTTGTCATTCTACAGTGAGGAAAATGTCAAATGTACCCCAACGCTTCTCCACTCAGAAATTCAGAATGAACTGTAAAAAAGCATGTATACAACTTTCAGATTCTACCTGAAAACAACCCATTGAGCTCGATATGAAGATGCAGACATTAACAGCATCAAAAAAAACCCTTCTCAGTTCTACCTCTAGCACCCCAAATTATAAAACCTGAAGATTTTTGCTTCCTTTCCAAGAGTCTGTCTTTGTTTGTCCACAAGCAAGTGCAACTGTGTGATTACAGGGAAGAGACTGGTATGGAGGAAAAGAAAGGGAGAGAAGGAAACTGTGCACTAACATTGGATAGAGGTAAGATTGATCTAAGATATACATAGCAGATTGAAAAATACAATCTATGCTGGTAATTTTTCTCAGAACAGAAGGCATCACAAAGGCAATTAACGCAGCTTACATTTAGATAAAGTATTACATTTTGTTACATGCTAAGGTATTCTAAGTATGTTTTTGGAAAAACAATGTCTGTGTATAATACAACAGGAAATCTGGAAGATCAGTTTTTCAGATTAGTTATTCACTTGAGAGGTTCTGTGTGGACTGGAAGACTATGAAAATATCTGCAACTGCAAGCAAATGACAGAAATCATTAAACTTCTTTCAGCTCCAGTATTTACATCTCATAAATTCAGCTGGCTGTGTTCTCCAGAGCTCCTTTGCTCCCAGTAAGCAAAGCTGCTATCTTCAGCACTGACAGGGGCAGGAGGGGATGCTGCAGCCTGACTCCCAGCTCCCAGCCTCATCCTTGCAGCACACCATGCTTTTTAACTGTGGCTAATTGTTGGTGCAACCCTGCTGGAAAATCACATGGGGAACTGGCCCGAAGTAAAAAACAGAACAAACCAATACAGCTTCCCACCCTTCTCAATTTTATGGTATAAAGTTTATTTTTTTTGCTTAGGGCAGACCAATTCTCCAGTTCAGTCAGAGCAGAGCCTCACAAATAGTTTTGCCAGCACAGTTTAGACGGTACCCCACCACAGGGGCATGAAGAAGAACAAGTGTGAATAGTTTAAATGCCAAAGACTATCTCATAAGAGCAGCTGATCACATAACCCTGCATCTTGCAATTTCTCTCCTGCAGTCACTGGTACTTGGATTTTTTGCTAATGTTCCTTGCATCCTCACAACCTGAGGTCAAAAATGTTTTGTGGTTAAACAGACTTAGGTTTCTCCCCTCAAAATGTATACTGTACCAGTGTGTGTGATGCCTGGATGCTCTGAATCTGTGGAAGCAGTAAGTAGGCATTTGCTAGCTGCACTTTAGGTTCTTCTGGAGGAGACATCAGACTTCCTGTTCCAAAAAGCTGGTATTAAAAAAAAAGGTCATTACATCAATATCTAGAATTTCAGTTTTAACAGCAGCTTCCAAAACTACATTGCTAATAACAACAATCTTCCCAAAAACAGATCAGTTTTTCACATTAAATTCTTTTAAAGGACAATAAACATAAAGTTCCAATGTAAAAAATTACCATAGACATAAATTGCACTTAAGAATCATCACTCATTCAGGCACTATTACAAAGACAAAGAAAGTATTCACCAGCAGAGCATCAGGTTATCTCAAAAACAAAGTATCTACATTCTCCTACTATTCTCCAGGCAATACAATACACCTATCACCATTTAGGAAAGAGGCAATTTCTGAGAAAACTTTGTTACTAGTCCCACTGAATATTGAATTCAATGGCTCTGCCTTAAAAATTGAGTAAAATATTTTCTCATTATTTTGGTTTTTAAAGACTACCATTTTCAGAACATTGTAAGAGTTGTAATTTGGATGGCTCTACTGCATTTGTATTTTGCTCCACCAAGATTAGTTTATTGACAAGGAGATGTATGATAACTGAGGGGTGTGGAGCCAAGAGAGATCAAGGAGGCAGGGGATCATCAGAGGCTAACTAAAATTACTTTGGGCTTTTCACTTGTATGCATATATTTGTTGTTTTTTAAGAGGAAAAATCCACGTATTTTAATTAAGAGGATAACAAAATGCATTCTATGCTCACTGAAGATCTCTGACTACAGATAGAAAATACCAAAACAAAGGGAATATGCCTTTTTTTCTTTTTAATTGAGGTATTTATAATACAGTGGTGCCTTGTCTCCATTTGGGTGATTCTTCTGAACATACTCTTGAACAAATGCATTAGAAACATCAGGTATTTCAAGGCTTTGGGGCTCTCAAGAGCACTGTAACTGTGCATCAAACACTCAAGTCATGCCTCCTTTTGAAACTCTTAAACCTAATGTGAGCTGAAGACATGGACAGCTACTTCCTGTGTCTCAGGTGGCTGGTGAAAATGTCCAGGAAAACCAGCCTGCTACTGATTTTTGCGGCAGTCCAACAGGAAACAAACTGATTTTGAGGCGGCACTGACAACTGCTTCCCTGCAACTTCTTGATAAAAGGCTGAGCTGACTGGGCAGTAAATTAAGGGCACAGGGAAGGGTGAGATGTCAAAAAGAAAAGGTCAGTCGGTCTACAATGCACTTTTTCCGCATCCTTGATATGTTCCTGCAAAATGTGGCATTACCTCTAATAAATACTAGATAACTGCAACATTTGTATTAAAATCCCAAGTATTTCAACTGAACTTACCTAAGCTTTTATTTAAGAAGCTTTGTTTTCCAGCACAAGATCAAATTATAGGAATGAAATAGTTTGATGATTGATTAAAACTGTCATTCTTTTTAAATCACTAAATTCAGAGTTAAGATTTTTCTTGTCAAAATATTAAAATCCACGAATTTGGAGTATATAGTGTCCCTTAGAAAAAATTTTAAAAGCTAAAGGCCTGCTTAAATTCACCAGTTATTCAGAAAACAGACAGCTTTAAGGCACAAACATTACTTCAACTTTCAAGTTTTATGGGCCTAAACCTCTAACCCTGTGCTACATCCCCAATGTGTTTACATAAAATCCTGCAGAGTAGCTGAAAACCACCTTAAATAATTCCTAGTGGGTTTTTCCCAACAAATGCATTCCAGCACAGCGCAGTCTAGACTACACTAATATATGAAACTCATTAGACCATGATCTTTGAAGTACACACATACAAATACACTTGGTTTTACCACCACAACTAGCCCCACTAACAGCAGTAAGTTTAACCACATACATGTATGTGATCATGACACTACCACAATCTGGTAAAAGGGATGAATTGGGAACATTACCCCACCTGATCTGTATCAGGAATTCAATTAACTTTCAAAGTCCCTAAAATTATGAAAACCAATTTTTAAAACACAAGAAAATCCAAAGCCCAAGCTAAAAATAAGAGCAGTTCCCTGATATGAAGAATAAGAGCAGTTACCTGATATGAAAGAACTCCATGAGATGAGGTATTTATAAATAATGAGCTTTCAATACTGCCTTCTTCTGTGGGCAGGAAGAGTACTCTGAAAGACATCTTTCCCATGGCTGGAATCACCTGCAGAGAGCACAAAGAAGCTTGCTTGCTTGCTTGGTGCCAGTGATCACACAACTCCCCACTCAGTCACAGGGCCAGAGGACACTTCCACATGTACATCCCCATCTGTCAATCCCACTAAGGTTCTAAGCAGAACCTCAGCACTGAGAAGTTTCATCTGTGCACAACTCTCAACTCTCACTACAAAGAGCTGAGATCACACAGCAGCTTGCCAAGTTATGGCTGGAGTTTCTCAGCTAGCATGGGGCCTCACCAGCCAAGGCTTCTTTTTGGATAAGATATTAATCCTGCAGCATGGACAGCCTGTGAGTGCACAGAGACCCTCCCCACACAGAGAGAGATGGCTATTGCAAAGTGAATCAGTGCCCCTGTGATACACAAGCAAATCAGCCAAGATGAACTTAGGCAACAATCTCAGTAACTGTGGAATAATAATGACATTTATGTCTGCACACTAATACCCATTCAGCTATAGTAAAAGCAAAAATCAGATGAACACATAATAAAACCCCTTTGCACATTAGCAGAGGATAAAAACTGGGCTTTGTCCAACTGAGATCACAGCAATTCATTCTTAACATGCATTACATTGTTAAAAAAATCAGAGTTGAAATAATGGTCTTAGATCATAAAGGCAATTATGCCCATAACTGCAATACAAAATACATAAAACATTTCACTGCAGGTTTTTCTGACGAATATGCAAGACCATTCAAAAGACTGAAAATTCAGGGCTGTAGAACACCCACATGCCTGTGGATTACTGCATAATGCTGCTTAAAGCAGAATGTGATTTAAACAGCCTCTCTAACACTGAAAAATTCTTCTCCTCCTCTGTTACCATCAAACACATTTCCTACTGTAGGTTTTGGATGGCTTCTCCCAAACAAGTCTAAGTAGAAGTGAACAAAAAAACCACTAACAAAACAGAAAAAGAGTTGGAGGTCCTACAAAAAAGCACAAAAACACAGAATGAAGAACTCATGCCAGAGGAAGCAGGAAGGCTTGGCACTTGGCCATTACATACTTTCCAAAAGTACATCAACACTCACCCGGCTATGAGCGGGAGACACATGAAACTGTCTAGTAGCTGTAAACACTGAATTGACTACAACATCTCTATCTCTACTAGGGTTGTAGGCATGCAGCATTTTAGCTCTGGGTAACCCCAGTAACCTAAAGCAGGAGAAAAAAAAAAAGACAAATAAATTATTCACTTTATAAGCAATGAAAGAAACAACACAAATTACCCTAAAACATGTTCATCTGCAACAGTTACCTACTTGTAATTTATCTTTGGAAACACACCAAACAAATTTTGCCTTTAGTATACAAAGGCAAATATGTAACACTGGGATGTGCGGTACACTTGGCCAAAACTCACTGGAGTAACTAGGAGTTTAAAAAAAAAAACTAAAAAAACCTTAAAAAACACAAAGTTTTGGATAAAAAGATTTAAATAACTGAAGTCTTGTTTTGTCAGCTAGAGCAATGATTCTCTTGAGGCTTTTGCTTTAGCTAGTACACCCTTAACCCCAACATCTTAGACATTCCTCCAGTGCATCCTCTGAAATATTCCTTTAACTCACAAGGAGAATGTGTTTCTTTTTAGTTACTGAGAGATCAAAGTTTCATTACCACTTAAGAACAATTTTTAAAGTTTTCTTAAAAAAGAACTAAGAAAAACCTCATTTATTCTACCAGTACGTTTTGCTTGGGACTCTGGATTTTGTTATCAGAATTAAGAGGGAAACAACAAGCGCTTCCTCCACTAGAAAGGCAATCTTTCAAAAATGAACAACCAGCATGAAGCAATTATTTGACATCCATGCAGAATCACCTGAAATGTACACCCAGAATGTATTATATTCCCAATTATCTTTTCCTCCTTCTCAGAACTATGTTGATTTTAACTTACAAAACACTGCAAGGCAAGAAATGCACTTCCAGCTCTGTGGCAATTACTTACTACTTCTCTGTTTTTCAGATAGTGGCATGATCCCAGCTAATGCTTTTTACCCAAATGGAGCCCAGTGTAGCTGTTCCTCCACACTTCATTATTAACCAAAATAACAGTCATGTAAGATACTCACTGCATTCCAAAATGCAGAACTGATGGGTGAAAATGTAAGGCCTTCCCATTTGGAGGCATTTTTGCTGAGAAGCTGAAAAAAAGGGAAAAGAAGCCACAATTAATATTTAGTGGGCATGAAGCTACAATCTGCAGGGAAGGAAGATACATTGCAGGCTCTTAACTCCTTCTATTCTGAAGCTTCCTTCCTTGCACAGGTCTCCACAGTCATGCTGGCACACCTGTTTATGGGGCTGTGCAGTGGACTGCAGAGGGAAAACAACTGGGAAGAGTCCTGAGGAATGAAAATTACGTCAGCATGGAGCAGATTACTCGCCAATTAAATATCTATGGAAGCACTGGCACAAGCACACCTGAGAGATGTAGAGGTAGAGAAGTAAATAGAAGCTTGGGCAAAAGCAGAGATAAAAGAAGTGCTTATATAGCTGTGACTGTAATGTAAAAGGCAGCTTGCTTCTTCTATGCAGAACAGGATAAAAAATACTGTGAAGCACATATATCATCATCTTTCCTTTGCCCTACAAAAACTCACAGTAAAGTTCCTATCAGTTCTAGGACATTTTTAGCTTATTTCTACATTACTCAATATCCTGTAACATAGAAATTCCATGATATCTTCACCATTTTCTCAATTACAATTTGTCTTCCACAAGTCCCAAAAACCACAGTGATAAATGCTAGGCTTGTTTTTTGTTTATTTTATCTGCATACCCAGTGCCACCCTGTTAAAAGCTTCCCCAGAAGTAGTCTGCATGTTGAATAGCCAGAACCAGTTTAATCTTTACTGGATTATGCTAATAAGCATCCTAGCAAGGATGAGTCAAAGGGAGAGATGGACTGTGGTCTCATTAGGTATCCAGCTGCTTTGCATAATTTGTGGTAGTACAGTCAATTGGTTCCCAATTATAAAATGTAGTTCTGTGACATTACACCTTTAATATCTCTTACTGTGTACAAAATCCTGCTTTGATATTTCAAAGCAACAGACGTCATAATTTATTACTAGTCAGGAAAAATAATACTTATTATTATGAAAACCCACAACTTTTATAAAAACATAGAATCATAGGATGGAGAGAATTCTCTCACTACTGTAGCAGGCAGAATGCAATATATCCAAGTAGCATTCCTGAGGAGCTGCTAGTGACAGCCTCCTTCCAACCACCTTGTCTCTGCAGCATCCCACTCTTGCTCCATTCCTAGAAACACTGCAACAACCAGCACCTTCTTCCCCTTCCAAAATTCAGCCTCAGGTACATACCCAGAAGTTAAGTCTGAGTACTGTTGTAACACATACAAATTAAAATTACTACTGTAGTAAAAGCCACAGATATTTGAGGAAGACATGTTTCCTAAAGGCCCTCAAATCCTTTTATTGTATGCATACACATGAACAGCAGAATAAAATTTAAGCCACTGGTTAATGTACTACAATATGACCTTGAACCTCACCACAACATCTTACAGGTACTGCTGAAATACCTCTTCTCACCAGAAAAATCTTTCCTGACAACAGCAAGAAGTTGAGTGCTTCTCTCTGCCTATTCATGTAATTGGCAATAGCTCTCCAAGACTTGTCCTCCTTCTGAGAAATTCTAGCAGCATCAGCTCTTTTCCTCTCAATTTCCTCTTGCTCTTTGCAATAAGTACCAAATGCACCAGCTGGGTGCAAATGCAGCAGTGGATGTAGGAGACTGCACTTAATTTGGTCTAGGTGAACATGGCCATGCTGTAGCACTGGCTCTTAAAAATGTACTGTATTGCTGTTCAGCCAACCCTCTACTAGTTAAAAAATGGGAAAAGCCCTATAAGAGTAGCAGCAGGAGGATCCCAGGGGTGCCATTTATTCCTTCTGGAGATGGCAGCCTGGACCTTGCATGGCTGAAGCCAAGACTCAGTTAATGACCTGTGCAGGTTCTGAGCAGGCTCCTGAGCACGGAGATAACTTTGGAGCATCCCTGCACACCGCTTGACCAGGAATGGTCCTGTGATTACAAGACATCCAGCTTCTGCTTTGCACCCTACAAAAGCTGCCAAGTCACTTCAAGCTCCAGCCTGGCCCAGAAAGCAGAACAGCCACATTCCTGTGGCACCGTGCCCATCACCCAGCCCACCGTCCAGCTCCAGGGCAGCTGCACCACTTATCAGTGGCCCCGAAGCAGTGCCAAAACATAACCTGAGAGCTGAGTTTCTTCAACAACAGAACTGGTGGAAAGAGAACTATCACTGCTTTGGGTTGGGTTTTTTCCCCTCAAGGGAAAAGATGACAGGCTGGAATAATGGGAACAGGCAGGAGAACATTCTGCTCATGACAATCAAACAACTAGGACATGCTTTGAAGTGCACCACCGTACAGAGAAAGAGACAGGCCCATCTACATTAGAAGTGCACTTCTCCAGTTTCTGTCTCTAAAAGGCAGCTGGAAGCTGGCAGAACACCATTCTGCATCCCCATGCTCAAAATACAATTCAGAGCTCTGTGGGGAATCTGACACTGAAATAAACACCAAGGCAATTTACTTAGACATTTAAAATTTGAAGTCACTTCTAACAAAAAAAACCTACTTTTTTCTCTAAGAACATCATCTCAGCAATAGATTCACCTCAAATTATGCCCTAAATTGCTCTTTTAGCTACAGATGACATGTCCAAAAAAAGTACATGGATCCTTTCATGAGAATGTCACAGGCTTGGGAAAGACAGAAATATCTGCCTAAGAATGGAAATCTTGAAACAACAAGAAGTGTGGAGAAACAGGCCTCTTCACAACAGAAAAGGCCTGGTTTCCAGGTTTTACTCTTTAGGTGCTTTTAATGTGTGCTAGCATCCCATTCAGCATGCCACCTAACAAAGCTGGTCCCCATGCTCCATGGCATCTCTTTTTTTGGCAGACCAGTTGAACAGCATCTTCTGAATGCAGATTTTGATAGAGCAGTTCAATTTCAGAGGATACTCTTAAGCACGAGTGAACTGGAGGAGAAAGAAAGAGAAGAGAGGAAGGAAATTCTTGGCAATTACTTTGAACACTCAGTATGCATCAAGATCCTAGTTTAAATGGTGCTGTTATCAATTCCCAGCCCAACAATTCAATGCCCTTCCTCCTCTCCCATCCACACGATATATTTAAAACCCTGACACCCTGAACCATCCATTGCCAGGAAGAAAGAATAAGAAAAATTGGGGAGGGCACCACATGGTCACCCAGAGCAACAGGAGGATCTGTAGACAGGTTCTGGCAGGAAAGTTGAGGGTGAGCCCATGAAAACTTCAGCTCATCAGCCTTGCTTGCAGCAAACACCCAGGAGAGAGAAACAAATCCCAAACATGCACAGAACCATTAGGAATTGGGGAGAAAGGTGGATGTGGAGCTGAAAAAAGTGGGCTGGAGGGGAGGTAGGGTAAGGAAGAGGGGTGAGACCAGGGGAGAAGAGCAGGATGGAGGAATGCAAGCACCATTAATTGCTTGTGCAAGCAGAGGAACATGTAACTCTAGGGCAGCACTTTTGGGGGAATTTTTTTGTTGTTTTTAAAAAGGTGCATGAGCTGTAAAATGTTAAGCTACCATATTCCCTCCACTAAGAAGCCCCAGAGGTGCTTGAATATGGAGAAGGTCCAGCCTTTCACAATGTTTCCTGCTTCAGCAAAGAACATTTTGGTGTCCTGTTGGTGTTGAACTAACAAAAAGAGATGCTAATACAGGGATGCTGAGAGCACTGTTAAATACAGCATTGATATTGTTTTGCCCTTGCTTCTTTCAGTTCTTTCAGTTAGGCTGTGATGTATAAAGTAAATATAGGTAAACAACCAGATCAGTATTTACAGTACCAAACCCTAATATTTTTATGCAATGTATATTGCAAACATTTGTTTGAAATAAGCAAAAGCCTTATGCTTTCCAACAGAAACAGATCTTTTTTCACAGGAGATTTGTTCCTACTTCACTGATCAAAATCACAAGAGAAATATTTCCCCTAAAAATCCAAACAAAGAGCATATCCATCCTGAATAAATTGCTGGAGATTGCATTGGGGGTTTTTGTTTGTTTTGCCTTTTTTTTAATGAAATTTTAAAACTGAGTTAATTCATCTGATTATACACATAAAACACTCAATCTGCAGAATAAGCTGCATTTGACCAGAAGTGAAGGACATTTCCTGGAAGGACATTTATCCCAATGTTACTTTTTCTTCTATTAGCTCTTTTATGTCTTCCTTGTATCTTTAATTCTTCGCTTGAATTGATTACTTCATACTATCTTAGCATGCATAATAACTGATGATTCAGATAGCAACCTCTGTAGTTGAAAATAATCACAAATGCTACTTGGTTCCCTTTCTTCTTCTTCCTTCCTTTTTGTATGCTTTCTTCACAGCACATGCTTAAAAAAGCAAGTCAGGGAAAGGCATTTTATTGTCAGGTCTTTTGCTTTATGGCTGCAGGGGTTTCTTGGAAGCAGCAGGCAAAAAGGACTGGATTCTTGAAATACAACAGGTCCTTTTTGAGTGTATTTGTTTAGGCAGTACTGTTTCATTTCTCAGTATATTGATAAAAGTAAAATTTTACTTATGTTGAGCATTTTAGCACTTTACATGACCAGTGCAGTCATGTTAATGAACCCACAAGATGAGGTTTTGAGATGTGAAAGCGTGTATGTATTGTACAGGAAAGTACTTTTTTTATGCAAGCTGAAATAGAGAAAATGAAATAAAACCTCTCTTTACTGACTAATTTTAGATTCATTCCTCTAAACTACACCTGATAAAGAAAACACAGAATGTAACACATAGGGAAACAATCAAACACAGATACTTTTAATCATGCTGATTGCAGCTGATGCAAAGAAATTATTCTGACAAATGAAAAGAGGTAATTAAGGGGTAATAGATATAGAAATAGAAAAAGCAGCTGAATCAAAGTCTTATGCAGAGCTAATACAAAGCTTTGGTTCATCATATCCCTAGTCCCTCTCTTCTCTCAACTTCTCCTTTACCAAAGGCAGTAAAAGCAGCAACTAGTATTAGGAACATTAAAGTGCAGCTCCTGAAAGATACACAGTGCCTTTGAAAGAGATCAT